GGGGCGCGTGGTGGCCCGCGGCGAGGGCGGGCGCCGGCGGGGGCGGCGGTGGCGGCGGCGCGGAGGGCACCCCGTGCTGGTGCTGTGCTTGCAAACCCTGGTGTCCGCTGGGGGGGTGCGGGGGCTGGTGCAGGGGCAGCGGGGCCGGCGGCGGCGGTGGCGGCGGCAGGTGGTGCCCGGCGGCCGGCGAGTGGATGTGCGAGCTGGGCGCCACCGCGTGCACCACGTGCGCCACCGAGTGCGGCGGGTGGGCGCCCTGTGGCGGCACCAGGTGGGCGCCCGGCGCGGGCGGCGGCGGGGGCGGCGGCGCCGCCGACGGCGACGCCTGGTGATGGAGGCTGGGGCTCGGGGAAGGCAGAAAGTGCCCTGCGCTTACGTGGTGCCCCGGCCCCGGCTGCTGCGCCGCGGTGCCGGCAAGTGCTGGGTTTGGTCCGGAGGAGAAGGCAGCCGGGGCGGGCACGCTGCCCTTCAGCTGACTGTAGCTCTGGAAGGTCCCAGAGGGCTGCTGCTGGTTTTGGTAGTAGGTGGAGGAGGGCGGCGGGGGCGGGGGAGGCGGCGGGGCGCCGCCGCCCAGAGTTTGTTGGTTGAAGGGGCTGTAGGAAGCTGCCGACTGTCCCGAGGTGGTGGGAGGGAAGAGGCTCCCGGCGGGCTGCGAGGCCGCGGGCTGCAGCGGCGGCGCCGTCGCGTAGAAGCTGCGGTGCGAGTCCCTCTGCGGCGCCGGCACCTGCGGCGAGGGCGGGTGGTGGGGCCGGTAGGGAGAGCCCAGCGGCTGCGCGGGCGGCTTGGGCGACAGGTAGCCGTGCTGCCCCGCGCCGTGCGGCGTCGGCGGCTTCGCGGGGGGCTCCACGTGGGGCGACGGGGGGCAATGCAGCTTCAGCGGCGCCGCGGGCACCTTCTGCGCGTGGGCAGGCGGCTCGGCCGCGCCGCGCGGCGCCGCTTGCGCGGGGTGGGGTTTTGAAAGTGCTTGGACGTTACTTGGCAGCGGCTTCTGCTGCAGCTCCGGTCTCGGCTGCGCGGCGCTCTCGGCCTCCGCGGCAGGGGCTGCGGCCTCCCAGTGCGGATCTGCTTTTGGGGCCGGCTTCCCAAGCGACTGTGCTGCAGCGACAGGGCTCGGGGAAGGAGGCTAGAGGACAAAGAGAAGTGAAAAACTGTCACAACGCTCCACGGAAGTTAAAACTCAAAGCATCTTGGCAGAATAGTGTCATCTGTCTCTGTGACCCTAATGGAAAAAGGTGTTACGGCAGCAAGTATTTTGTACATGAAAAAATAAAGATCGCAGGAAGCTCAACCTTTGTACAGTCACTGTTTTTTAACCAGTATATGAAAAATATTCTCTTCAAGTTAAACATCAGCAAACGCTGTAAAGCAGCAAACAGAAACATGGCCTGTCAGGTCTAGGTCGGGATCTAGATTACTTGCTGAAGTTTTAGATTTCTGAGTTGGMATCAATCCAGGTTATTCACAACCAACTTTAAGTGGGATTTAACATTTTTGAATGGGGATAATGTGAACAAACTGGCTGAACGTTACACCCTGAGTTGCTGCATGCAATACTGCTCGGGGAGCTGCTGCCCCCACGTCAAGGCCTCAAAGCTGACAGTGCCAAACTGTGACGTGGCGGGAGCGGGCGCCTGCTCAGGTAAACAGTACTTGACTCGCATCCCTGCTGTCCCTGCTGGCTGCCAGGTCTCCAGCGTTCAACCTGCACACACTGAATCCACGGATATGGYTTTTTCTGTGTGTGCAGAATGCAAGATTACGTATAGGTAAATACCCTACTGAAACAATAAARCATAAACCAAGTTTTTAGCGTGTATGAGCTACCGTTAACATAAACATCTGTAAAAATGTTTTTCAACAGAAAGCTCACATGCACACATGTCCATCGTACAGAATTAAATCACAAAGGTAACATATGGAATTAAACCCAAGATGTATGTATGTATGTATGTATGCATTAACAGGTGTGCTATGCAACGCACACGGTCCCAAGCAGTTGCTCACTCTCACCTTGCTGGCTTTTGAAGGACTCCTGCAAGTCTTCTGTGAAGTATCTGGGGACGGACATTCGGAAGCGGGCTCTGGGTTTTCAGGATCAGGTTCTACAGGCATAAAGCAACAGATGTGAAAGCAGGAAAAACGAGATCCAGCTCTTGCTTCTGTAAAGGCCACTAAGCACTTTACATTTGACTCTAAAGCGCTACTTCGAGTTCTTGTAAGCGACTAGTCAACATGTCAAGTGTCACACAAGGTCATCCGCTTACTGACCTTCCRAACATTCAGTGAAAGGAGGGACCTTAAGCTGCAACTGGGAAATGAGATTTGAATGAGATGAAGGTGGAGACTGAACATGACACGGTGAGCATGGGCTACAAGGTGACTCTCCTCCTACAGATGAAGGAGACCCAAACACAGTGTTAGAATGACTCAGGACACCGCGGGGACTGCTCAGCTGAAGCCACCTCGGACGTGACAGACCCACTCACCGCTGTCTTTGTCCTTCCTGTGATCGCTGAGCAGCAGAGCTCGCTGGTAACTCCGTTCTCGCACTTGTTCCACAGATGTTGACGCAGTCCTTGGAGAGAGGAGCAGAATTTGCATTTAAGGAAGGTCCCGCATACCGAATTTGGGAGAAGATACATACATAAATAGAGTTAGAGAAAGCTCACAGGGCTCACTACACAGAAGAGCCAAATAACTGGTTCTACCTAGGGAATGTCATTTGTTAAATAGCTTGCACTTCATTTTCTTGTCCTGTACACCTRATTTCAATGTATTTTCTTACATTCACTTCCTGCAACACTGTTCCATTAAGAAAACTCAAAGTTTATGTGAATAAGGGAATGACATTCACAAATCCGCCGTGCATAAAGAGGTAACAAACCTACCACCCAAAGCTGCATTTCAGAAATGGAGACTTCATGCACCGTTCCGTATTCACCACTTCTAAAAAGCAGTTTTCTCCAAAAGCTGGATTTTTATGTATTTCTTTAAGTAGCCCAGGCCCTTCCCACCGTACTGTGGCTCCCCTCTGTCCGAGCACGCGGTTGTGGAAGGRGCAGGGGCGTTTTCTGACACCGTGTGGTTTTAGGACCCACAGAAACGCGGGGCTGGCCCAAGGGCACTGCCGCTCGCCCGCCTGAGGGCGGCTCTGTCCCGCAGCCACACGTGTCCAACACAAGAGGCTTTCCCGAGCACAAAGCAGCCCTCAGCGCGCCTCGCTTACCACTGAACCTCCGGCTCGCTCTTGTCGCTGCCGGGGGGCTCCCTCGGGGCGCCGGGCGCCTCGTCGGGGGCCGCGGCGCAGGCGGGCGGCAGCGGCGGCCCCGCGGCGCCCTCCGCCTGCTCCCCGCTCTCGGCGCCGAAGCCGTCGCCGCCGCTCAGGGCTCCCGCGGCGGCCGCGTGAGGAGACACGGTCACCAGGGGAAAGCTCTCCGCCTTCGAGCCGCTCTTCCTCGCTTCCCGCTGCCTCTTGCGGTATTCCAGTAGGGATACCTACGGAGCAAAGGGCACAGAGAAGTTCACTCGGGTATTCCTGGGACCTTCCGGGCAGTAATTTATATAGACACTTTCAGGAGGACAAACAATTTACTTGGTTTTAAAGGAAAGGGGCTAGAGCAACTGAAGGCCAASTGATTTCTCACCACATTAGTGGGGAATTTGCACTAATAGCAGAGAAAAGACAGATGAAAAGAAAAGCTTCTGCCAAGAGAAGCAAGTCCGGATTTCGCCTCAGAGAGGCTGATGCGTGTTAGCAAAAACAAGGAAATTCCCTCCTGAAGTTGTACTGGTGGTTGAAGATACAGAGGAGTCCACAGCTTTTCTACAACTGCAACACTTCTAATAAAGGAATGTTTGTATAATAACGCTAGTTTTAAGAGATGTTATATCCTGTTTCACTCTGAATAACTCACGTTAAAAATCTAGCAGACTTTAGCTCCATCATTATGCAGAATAAAGTTTCACCAAGCTCTTTACATTTTTTTTTCTTTCAATATAAGTAATTTGAAACGTAAACTTGCTTCTTTTCCCCATTCACTCTCAATCAATAACTTCAGCCCAAAAAGATTGATTTGGAGCATATTTTGATACTAAATTTCAAGTAAAATGATTTATTATYAAAAAAAACACATGAAAGGATTGGTTTCTACTTCCTATATGAAAAAAACAGTCTTATTGTGTAATAGCTTTCACGTAACAGAAAACAGTTTGAGAACTTAAGAAATTACTTTCAGTGGAAAAAATGAAAAGGTTCCACTGTGCATCTTTAGGATTTCAAGCAGAAAACCAAAGTCCTGAAGAGCCAATCTGATAAATAAGCTACATTTAATGCTTTGGTGTCTGTTCTTCCACTTGGCAGCAGCCTGCTCCGAGCCAGGCAGGCAGCCAGGCTGCTGCAAGGGCAGGATCCAGGGCTGCTCCGGGTGGCCGAGTCCCACTGCAGGTGGGCAGGAGGGAGGGTGACAACGTGTGTGTGAGGAGCAGCTCTGGGGTACAGAAGCTGCAGGGCAGCAGCGGGGCAAGGAGGCCCCATTGCCGGATCCATCCRCTAAAGACTAATTCGTACGACGGGTAACAGGAGGTGGAAACACCTCATTTTTCATAAGGGAAGTTCAAGTTAAGAACTGATCTTGCTTTGAAACACYTGGTATTATCTCCACATCGGACATCTGGGATTTCCTGAAGAATATCATGCGAAGTGTAAGAATGAATACATGTCTATGGGTGTTTTGTGAGAAGAAAGTACTGCCACTAAGCACCACAGTCATTAAAATGAGACAGTTTTGTACAACGTTGAGAGAAAATGAGAAAATGCCCATAAAACGTGGAGATCTGGAAGATCTTCCTTGAATAATCGCACAGAAATATGCGCGTCAACCTGATTTAGGGCAAAGGCTTCAAATTCTCCTCCTCCTCCTCCAAAAATTCCTGAATTCTCCTGTTCCCTTACAGGGAGATTTTTTCCCTTCGAGACAGTAAAAGGGATTTCACAGCTTTGTTTGCCCTTGGAAAGCCTAAGCCATACTTTTCCCAGGAGGGCAGATGCAGGTTTCCCTGCCTTTCCCCTAAGAGCCTTTTGGAGGGGAGCAGCAGGGGCGCCTGCCTGYGGAGGGGCAGCCTCCTGGCTGGGGGTTTCTCCCCGAGTCACGGGTCCCGGAGGGGCAGAAAGAGCCTCGGGAGCAYGGGAAGGGGCACGGGAGGGACTGCTGCCGAAGCACCAAGCTCTGCTTGGATCTGAAGAGAACAGACCTTCAGAGGAAGACCACAACATTCGGCTTCTTTTATGGTACTTGGCTTTGCAAAAATGGCCTGGCTACAGCAACGTGAATGAAATATGTAAAGCTTCTTAAGGTGCAACCAGGTACAAAGCTCCCACCACCCTGCATCAACTGTGCCTCAGTTTTAAGCACAGAAAAGGGAATTTTAGTTCTCATGGAGCATTTTTGACAGAACAATCATGAGATGTCCCCATAACAGGGCAGGGAAATCGAAAACCTTACTCCTCCCTCTATCCAGATCATTACTGCCACAAAGAAAATAAATCACATTTCTTAAAATAAATAATTTCTTGCAGTCTGTTAACAGACAGTAACAGTAAGCTATTGTGTTAGACACGATCATCCTCACTTCTGTGAGGAAAGAGAATTCATTTTGACAGTGAAGTGTAGCCAAGGCATTTATGCAGGATTAACTTTCGATATTGATTCCATGATCGTGTAACTTACCTACAGGATCTATGTGATAAGACTTAGAAATTTAGATTGTGCTTATTTTAAAAACACAAGTTTTATTACTGAGCAAGTCATTTATGATTCAAATAAAGTGACATTATAACCGAAAAAAGSGGGATTTTTATCTATTAGATTGGAAAGTTACACTTTCTAAAGGATGTGTGACTGCCCTTCCTAATTCCTGCTCAGTAACAGCAAAGCTGCAATGTCTGAAGGTTGATCAGCAAGGTTTCCACAACCCAAGCCCACCCCTGTTTTTTTTTTTCTTTTTTTTAATTAGTATGGAGCTTTCCAGGACAGAAAGAACAAGAGTATGTAAGAAAGACCAAGTGATTCTTAAAATCGTAACCTTTTTCTTTTGCGGAGGATTCTGGGGTGTGCAATTTCCATCCATCAAGTTGTCGTTATTGAGAGCCCTTCCAAAGCCAGATGCAATTCCATCTTCTGAAGTACAAAAAACAGATGCTTCCATGAACATGCCTCTAGCATCGTCTTGAATCAGGCACTTTGACTCACTTATTCTGAATCCACCTCCTACCTCCAACTGATGTGAAGGTGTCAAGTCCCTCAAATTAGAATTCATTGAGAAATTTACACCTGTCCTGTCGGGACTTTTTACCCAGGAAGAATAAATTGTGCCCCGGCCACAAAGAGCAGTTTCTAGTTGGCTGTTTGAATCAGTCCTATCGTGTGTGGGGGCTTCCAGGTTTTTATGCAGTGTACTTTGCTCAACTACTTCGAGTCCCAGCTGGAGGTCTGACACAGATTCCATCTCTCCAGTGCACTGCCGCGTGACATCGGTCCTATTCCTCGGGCTGGAATATCCAATAGTCTTGATTTCTTGCAGGCCCATTTCTGTCAGATTTGAACTTCTGAAAGAATTCAGTGCTAGAATCGATGCTCTGTCATATCCCTGCATTAAAAAAAGAGAGAAAGAAAGAAAAAAACCACATCAATTATATTTCGCTATTACAGGTTTTCCTGTTTTTATATCATCACGGTTTAAACTGAGATTTCAGAGCGTGCTGTGAATTTCTTTGAGAGATGGCTCTTTAATCATTTACTTCCAACTATTTCTATGCATTAAAAGCATCTTAACGAAACACACGTGGATTGAAGGCAAAATTTTATCTTAAATTGTAAATATCAACTTTTATTTATGACTGGCAAAGGAAGGGGAGAAAAAGCTTTAACAGAGAAAAATCTCTGGCCTAGAAGAGTTTGAAAGTATCTGCTTCACTTAAATGACAAAGAGATCCTTAGGAAAGACACACTTACTTCAGGGGGAGGGAATAAGAGTGGAAAGAGAAGGCAAAACTTTCCCAAGACATCTTAGGATTTTAAGACAGTATTAACGCTAATGGTTTGTAGAAGAAAAATAAATCTCAAGTTACAGAAACCATGAAGAATCCAGCATATAGTCATAGCTGGAAGCATCTTCCCTAAACTATTTTTGAGGCTTTTTTTTTTTTTTTTTTTTTTTCTGCCTCGTCCTCTTAAACATATACAGGAACTATTACCAACAGAAAAAAAACCTACTTTTACTTTGAATCAAATGAACATTAAAACACTCAATTACAATCAACTAAATACAATTTAAAATAAACCTTATATTCAATCTACAGTGATGATCACATGAAAAATATATGTATTTCAACGCTTGAGAAGTTCACTTAAAAATAGGCTTAATCCATTGAAGAGCGTATGTGGATTATTACTTTGCAGCTCCTCAGAAAGTGAACTGAACTTCTTCAGAAATAYCATCAGTTTTACTGTTATTATTTTCCCTATTTCTTCTAGGTGCCAGGCTTAGGGCTGGACACCTTAATACAAGTTCTGTAGTTATCATCCATAATTCTGGGTATCTACTGTAGCGTTTACATGATGCATTTTTAATATTTTAATATTAATTTAATGTTTTCCTGTTTCGGCCAGAGCTAACATTGCCCTCTAGTGGCTTCACCATGTGATTCAGCCCAGGGCTGCACAACASGACACACCAACCTGGAAATAGCCTGGGCACATTCCAGCACCTGAACTAATCCCCCTGGACACAGGATTTATTCTCATTCCTCATTTTAAGCCTCACTTGGCTCAGTCAACATGTTTAAGAGATGCTAACATCAAGAGAAAATAGTACACGTAGAATAAAGGCAAATTTTGAAGTAGCAGCATCGTTTTTCTGGACTTACCACTAGAATACAGTAATTCTTGCTTGTCAAGGACAATCATTAGGATTTTTAAGTGAGACAAAAAAAAGAGGAGAGAAGATCCAGTTTAAGATAGAAAATGGAAGAGGAAAATAGAAATGATATAGCAAGAAATAAATAAGAGGGGAAGTCTCCTATTACATTCCAGAAAATTTACACTATCTGGTGAAAAGTATCTAACTGAGGACGTTGCAGCTCTACAGATCAAATCAAGAGAACAGGAGACCTCTGTAGCTTCCTGCAAAGATCCTTACCTCTTGACTGTAAGCTCTCCTTTTTATTTCTGGGGAACTGTCAGGTGAGGAAATATTCTGACAAAGAAGAAGAAATAATGAGTCAGCTTCAGTCTAGATAAATGCAGGAAAAAAAAAAACACCCTTCTTTTAACCGGACAACAGCTACTGATTTATACTGTAATTGATACATCTTCACATACTGAATGCACTACAAGCCTCACCTCAAAGTGCATGGTATTTCCRTGGATACATGGAGTTACAGGAGTAACTGGTGAGTAAATGGGTTTGTAACCATTTCGACAAGTTTCCTCTTCCGTTTTGATCCTAGGCGGAGTAGCGAACAGGGACGGCTCCGGGGCGGCGATGTCGGCGTGCGTCGGGGTGGCGTAGGGAGAAGGGGTTGGTGTGGATGTCTCTGAGAAAGCAGACTCCAACAGCTGATACAGTCTTCGTTTCTTTAATGGCGTGGTTAGATCTGTATGTTAAAATTAGAGGAGAAAAAAAGGAGAGTTAGGGGAGATCTAGACATGGTCAACTTAAGTGTTGCTTAAATACTTGGTGCCATAAAACTATCATCAACTCCACTTTATAATAGTAAGACTACAAAGGTCTCAAAAGGCTGGACCTCTTGAAAAACAAACTCTTAAACATTCTACAGAGACCAATATCTGAACTTTTCCACGCTGACATAATGGGAAGCAAGGTTTCCTAAAGGGTTTTCATAAAAGGAAGCGTTAACTTCTGTGCATCTCATCATCTAATACATGCCATATCCTTAGAAAATTTTCCATATTTTTTAGCGTACTCCTAGTCTGTACTACTGTTGAAACAGCTTTCCCCCATACACAAGACAATCATCRACTTTAACAGCAATTCTGAATATGCAGAACACATACAAAACAAGTTTGAAACCTAACCTTCTATATTCATGATCAAAATGATCAGTTGTTTGATGCCTGTAAGCCTCTGTAAAGAATCACTATGAAGTGGTTGCTACGTATCAGATGCATCATCTGTAACGATCACTTGCAGTTCAAGGAAAAAGCGCTAAGTGACCATGCATTTCTTTCCAACAACTGCCCAGAAGAACATAGCTTAGAAAATGGTTCAACTACCACTGCGATTTTTATAATCTCATTCCTTTAAAAAAAACATACTGCCTCACAGATATGAAACCTGCTTTGACAGAACTCCTGTATTTTATTAGTAAAAACTTCACCTGTTAAGGAACAGCTGTCRTTCAGCAATAAAGGGCTCTTATTTTCACCATTGATGGCTGGGCTTCTAGATCCCTCTTGAAATGGGGAATTAAATCTATCAATCACTGTTGAATTTTCTTCTTCCAAAGCCTGCTTCAACCAACGCTGTAATAAAAATAAATCAGTCACTCCTCAGTTTAAAAATCAATATTTCTAAATGTGTTACGATAGAATCATTTGTCAAAACACTTTTTTTTCTGCAGAGATTAAGGACAGTAAATAATATTTACTTTTAAGCAATATGTTAAGGGGGGACCATCAGAAGTTTGCTTCTCATTTCAAAACCAGATTACATGAAGGGAAGCGTTACCTTCTTACAAGAGCCAGTAATGTTTTCCACTGCTTCCTTTTTCCTCCTCTTTTCTGAAAGGAATGGTGAAGTAAAACGAATATAGTGCTTTGGAGTTGAATATACATGCGGGCTGTAAGTGAGACCTGGTAGAGAATTCAGCTGAGTTGCCAGAACTTCAGGGTCAGTAGTTATACGCAGAGGCCTTTCTGGAAGACTGTCTGTAGGTTTTCCTGTCTTGTCACTCTTTTCACTTAACCATTCATTGACCAAGTGCTAAACAAAGAGAAAGAAAACGTRGTGTTTACTAAGTGGTTCAGAGCAGTGACATTTAGAGATGCCTTTGGCTAGTCATCTAATCAACTATTATGCAAGTCAGAAAACAGGTGGTTCCCAGCTGGCAGGTTTAAGAATATAAAGGGTCACAGTGTAAGGCAACAGTCTGGCAAGATMACAGGCTGTGGGAGAAGGAAGCAGTGTAGTTTTGCTCTGAACAAAAAAGGCTTTATTTTGAATAAACTGAGCCCATTTCAGTCCTTTTAGATTTAGTTTAATTTGCACTGAACATGCCGCAAAATGCCCAGATCAGCTGTGCTTATGACGTGAATACTGTTACAAATTCTAAAATACATTTTTATCATCAAGCCTCAGTACCTACGCCAAGGGAAAATAGTGACATATTGATGAGAAATTTAACTTTTTTGATTATCAGATTTCCATACTGTCAAGATTCTCAGTCAAGGTGGCAGGTAGGGCATCTTTAGATGTAGTCTTGGTGTGACTACAACAAATTTACCAAGGTACATTCATCAAAAAAGAATATTCCCTCTTACCTGGTTCAAGAGGCTTCTTCATTGAAGAAGTGCCAGTGGGTTTTAGTTCCTACTAATAGGGAACCAGAAGTAAAGCAACTGAGCTCTAACAGTATACAAGTCTTTGAACTAAATACTTTTGAGATTCACGCCCAAAGTCTTTACTTTTCAAAAGGAGTAGATTTAACCCTCCTCTCCTTCCTCTTTTTTGGAAGAGGAAAACCTGAGTGTCTGCTAGGTCTCAGCTGTGAGGTGGCTTTCCACTCACAGTGCACATTTTGGCAAGAAGTACCCACTCCTTCCAAATAAAGTGTTTACCCATGAAATACCAGTATTTGTTGCACAGTAACAGTTTGCAGACCAATTCGAAGTAGAATGCAACATCTCGTTTTATTTGCAAGGCTTAAGAAAACCCAAGAAACTTAAAAAAAAGAGTAGGGATTTGGGAGGTGAGGGAGGGTTTTTTTTTTTGTTTGTTTTTTTTTTAATATTCTTTTACACAACCAAACCCACTGAATATCACAGTGGTTAAACTTTAAAGACTTGCCAAAAAGTCCACATAAATATTAAAGTTTTAAAAAATCATGTTTAATTAAGATGTTGATCTTTCAAAAACCATTTTTGTTTTAATGTGGACTCTCCCTCTTCACTGAAAATGCACCGAGTACAAGGCAAGATGCATATCCTTAATATTACAGAAGAAACATAGTACAATTTAGACTTCTTAGATATCTTCATTTCTGATACACCTATGCAACAAAAGATAGCAGAAGCAAATTCTGTTCCCCTTTCTGATAAAATCTGGTGATGCCATCAAGTAGTGTTACACACGACTCCAATGCTTTCTTAAAAAAACGTAAATGTAGTTAATATTTGAAGGGAGTGCTCTGACATGGTSATTTCTACCTTGTTTTACTCATTTGGCAAGAAGTTTCAATGTCTGCTAGTTATCACTGTTTCCTTCCCCACCTTCTAAATAAAGTACTCACGCCTGTGACTAAAGTATTTGGAAGAACATGTAAAGCACACCGAAGAAAACAAATTTCTCATGCAGCCTGCAGATTTTTTTTGGAATGCCTTTTACTATTTTATTCAGTTTTGTGGGAATGAGATTTTTGTGAGTGTCTTTCAATACTGTGGTCCTTCCCCAAACTGTACAATGAACTCTAGGAATTTTTTGTTAGAAACAGTATGCTAATGAGAATTAAGAATCTGCACCTCAAGAAGTGTGTTAATTTTTGAAAGGTTTAAATTGGCTCATTTTGAAACAGCTGTTTCTGAAATACTGAAAGTTAGTAAGTTTCCATTGAGGTATTTTGGTCACCACCATTAAAATATATTCTGAAGTACACAATGAATCCGGTAAGGAAAGACTCATATTTGCCACTCATATCTGCCAAACACATGCGCTTTCCCCCTATACTCAATAGCTTTAAGTATGGGCTTTTTCATCTATTATGTCAATTCCATTTGAAAGTTTATTCCAAATTTCTGAAAAATATGCTTGAAAGTCTCAACAAATCCAAAATAACGTCTACTGATAGATGTAACACAAACCTTATTTATTGCTTACCGATGAGAGGATATATAATGGTAATGTTTAAAGAAAATACACCAAATATTTTTCAATCTATATAGGCTGCTGCTGCATTCAGTATCTTTAACAGAGTTCATATATATGTATATATAAATAGTTTAAGTCCATGCTCTTCTCCCCAGCTCTACGAGACATACCTTCTTTGTTTTGGGATACTTAGAAGGGCATTTATTCAGCGTTGGAGCTTCTGTTTCAGTAACCATTTCTGTCACGACAGTTTCTGTTTCGGGCTCGGCCACTAGCGCAGCGCTCTCGGGGTCGTTGTGCTGTGCAGTCACTTCCACGTCGGGAGAAGAAGGCTGGATATCGGAGCACATGCTCACGGTCCGGTGCCGCCGGCGCTGCTGCCCTATGTGAGTTCTGCTCCGAGAGAAGCTCTTCCGCTGCTTAGCTCTGTTCACCTTGGCTGGGGTGGGCTTGGTGGCAGTTTCTTCTTTTGCTGGTTCCTGGCACAAAACAAAGTCCACTAAATAAATGTTTCCCCTTGCTCAGAAATCTGAAACGCTTCTCATTTCTGGGGTGAGAACTGAGATATTTCAGAGCTACTAATTCTATATTTCTTGTAGACACAATTCCCAGTACTTTCCTCCCAACAGATCCCTGCCAGATAGGGTATCTACATGGGTTAGTTGCTGCTCAGACCACTCTAGAGCTTGTGCTCTGCTGTGCTACATCTATTCACGTGTGGACTGGAAATTGGCCGTTTACATCAGAACATCTTTCAGTTCAACGACCTTTCTGTGATTTGCTATAGTTAACTGAACGCTAATGACAGTCACATGAATACTTAGCAACATGCTGGCATACTTTATCCAGGGAAATAGATGAAACCATGAGAATCTGCGAGAATATTTGCAAGATAAGGAGCAACAATTCTATATATGAGGTGTACCAGCATGCACGAAGGATAAACTGTTTCTATGATACAATTAAAGTATCTTCTGCAAGAGCAATTCAAGACCAATTAAGCATGTGTCTCTATAGGAAAAATAAAAAGTATTATAACCTTAAAAACCCACTGAATAAGCATGTCCTGGTAAGGAAACTCCACCTTCTTTGCTTAAAATCAGCATCTCTAAACAGCTCCCATCTTGAACTTCAAAGAGGCTGAATTACAAGGCAGTTGTACAGATGTGTTTACATAATGAGGAATATCAGTTACGTAAGTTTAAGAAATTCTATTCAGTTTTCTTGAAAGTCATAAGCTAGCACTGCTTAACAACAGAAAACMATACACATTTTGGTCAAACATATTTGCGTTCAGACAAAAAAAAAAAATTATTTCCTACATCTTCAAGTGTATTTCAGCCATCTACACTGCCATGTTAGAAGTTAATGTTAAAATAAAGGTCTCACATAATTACCTGAATGAATTCAGTGTCATTGAGAATCTGTGCTTCCTTGCATTCTGATTTAACCTCAGTTTTTGCTGTGCTGATTCTTTCCAAAGCCTGCTCTCTTCTTTTTTCTCTTTTTTCTAGTCTGGCAAAAGCTTGCAGAATAGCTTCCATTTTCCGCTCTTCTCTTGTCTGATGGATTTAATAATAATCATTTTGATTATAAGATTTAACATATGGAATTGCAAAAGTACTTTTTTTTTTTTTTTTTTTTTTAAGTAAGTACTTGAGGCAAATTTCAGGGAAGAGGCAGATGTTACAAAGCTGGCAGTTTTATTAGAGATTTCAGAAGGCAGCCTTGCATTCATAGCAACCCTTGCAAAAAAGAAGTGGCTCCTGCTTTGGATTTAAGCAATCAACAGACTATAAATGTAAAAAGAGTAGTAACTCTAAGCCACTTTTTGAACGTAAAATAATAAAAAGAAGATAACCAGAACGATAGGAAAAATAAACAAATGCAAGGAACAACAACAAAAAATACAGCACCTGCAGCAGAACACCATTATCCTCTGACCTGATTTCCCAGTGCCACAAAACCACATCAGGACCAGTATTTACGAATCAATATTTTAAAATAACACTAAGTAACACAAAATAATCCCTATATTTTCTGTGCATCAGTAATTCAGATCCATCTTCATACAGAAGCATATCTATGCAAAGAATGCTACTTAAGCTAGYATAAAAGCTGCAGAACTGGGATTTCTATTACAAGATTTTTTAAAATAAAAATATCAGAGACACCAGTAGTGCACTGGTAACAATAACATATTTAAATCCAAGAATGAATGACTGTATGGATGCTAATCATATGAATGGAAAAGGAAACTTTGTTTTCAAGATTTGCTTCTGAGCTTCAGCAAAATATAGACAAACTAGTATAGACAAACTTGTAATTATTTGTAAACCTCATATCAGAGCTACAGTATTAGATCTACAATTAGGTAGAGCAACTGTGCTGTCATTAAGATCCATATGGACTTGCTTGCAACTTGCCCTCAACATCACAGTCTTTTGTAACAAATCATCCCTCGAATGCAAGACATGCAGCTGTAACAAACACCCTTAAGAAGCTCATGCTGTAATTTTTTCAGATTTTATATTAACATTTGGGTATATTTTGCTTTCTGATATTTAACAAAGATAAAAACTAATGCTCTGTGGATTTTGGATAGTTGTAAGAAATGAGAAGACCAAAAGGCAGGCACACGCCTCAGCCCCTGTCACTCATCTCCTTAAATTCTTAAATAAGATGTTGCTAGTTTGGTGCCACCCTGAATTCTACTCATCAAAAGCTCTGTCTGATAAGACATGCTAGTCCAGTTCAACGTGATTTTGCTTGAATAGGTCTACTACACAGCAAGCATACTGTTTCTACGATACATTGTAGAAAAATGAATCCAATCTGACAAATGGCTCTCCAGTACCAGAGGGACGTGGAGCTTCCAGAGAGGGTTGAGCGCAAGGCTAYGAGGCTGATTGAACATCTCCTTATCGATTGAATATCTGCCCTATGAGGAGAGGCTGAGCGAGCTTGGCCTGTTCAGCCTGAAGAGAAGGCTGAGGTGGGATCTGATCAGTGTCTATAAATACCTCAAAGGAGGCAGCGAGGAGGATGGGACCAGTCTCTTTTCAGAGGTGGCCACTGATAGAACTAGAGGAAACGGCCACAAACTGAAGCACCAAAAGCTCCACAGGAACTTAAGGAAAAAAGGTCATGACAGTAAGGGTGACAGAACAGGCTGCCCAGAGAAGTTGTRGAGTCTCCTTCTCTGGAGATCTTCAAAACCTGCTTGGACACATCCTGTGCCACATGCTCTAGATGAGCAGAGTGTGCAGGAAGGCCTGGACTAGATGATCTCCAAAGGCCCCTTCCAACCTTAAGGATTCTATGAARTCTGCCACTGACCAAATTATCACCATATCTTAAAGAGAAATAAGAGGCTGAACTTTCATGAGTCAAAACCAAGGAAGATTGATGTCTCTAGGTCTAATGAAGGACTGACTGAACAATGACCAGATACTTATCATTTCAAGAAGGCTCATCTTCAAAGTGTTTAAATGGCCTCTACCATGAGCAATGAAGAGTATCATCAGAGAAATGAAATCTGCTCTGGTGGTCATACCAGAAGGGCTGATACCACAGTCGCTACTGCCTTCTAATGAAAGGGTAAATCAGCTCTTTAAAAGGTGCCTCTCTATGCACCAAGGGGCTCTTGGCAGGTAACGATACCCTAGAACTTCTACAGRTCTTAGTACAATTGCAATGCAGACAGCAGGACATGAGATAAATGCAAAAGAGGCAGTCAAAGGTCTAAGCAATGCTGCAAATTCCATTGTCAGAAATGAAGATGTTTTGAGTTTAAAGAACTCATTACTAGTCAAGAAACYGAAAGCCAAGTCTTGGAAATGGTGAAGAGTGATGGTAACAGAACTTGAGGTAGAAGGTGCAAAAGCCCAGAAAAGTGGCAGTAATAATGAGGAAAGAAAAACATATCAACTTCAAGTAAAATAAAAACAGCATTACTATATTTTGTGTATATTGTGAATAAGTTTTTTTAAGGAGTTAGGGAGAAGAGAGTAGCAGGCAAAGGTCTGCATCTTAAATTCAGGGGCAGCTTTCTTTTGGCTTGTTACAGTATTTCTTAGGTTGGAGAGTCAGATTAGATCTCCAACTTGTTTTATTTCCATATCCCTCTCATCATCAACTTACAATTCTCTTTGTACAATCTCCATTCTCTATGCCTTTAAAAGTCCTTTCTTGTCCCCAAAACCCGTGGCCCTTCCTTTCTTACCTATCCTTCCCACACTGTGCTGCCAGCTAGCTTTGGTTCAGAAAAGATGGAAGAGGGAAATTGCTCAGTGATGTCTATCTGCACAGCAGTGAAAAGATCACAAGTTCTCTGGGAGCCAAGAAACAAAGCCGGCAATGCAGCCTTATCCCTACCTCTTTACCCATTCTCTCGAATTTTGGACTTTCTTGTCAAGCCTCATAATCACTCAGGCCCACATGCTTCAGACACAAGTGTATCAAATATTATAACACAAGACAGCAAGTGGGAATCACAACAGTACCAGAAATAACCTTGAATTCTACTCAGTTTAGCTGCTAAGTTTATATACCCAGATGCATTAAGGAGTTACATATTAACAGGTCTAAGCACAGAAGTTACCCTTGGCTGTATAAAATATTAAAATGTTACTTTAATAAAGAGCAACAGTATTACAAAACAACAAACAGTCTTAAAGGGAACATTTTTTTGGAATATTTTTAGGAAGAGTACGTGGTTTTAAGATTTTAACAGAGAACACAAGTCCCAGCAATTTTCCTTCTCATTTATTTTTACTTCAATAGCTTTAATTTTTATATCAAAATCTTTTTATTTGGTGGATTTAGCAGTAACTTCCTGCCAAATCTCTATCGCACTGTTGTTGTTTAGAGCTTTTGAGTTGGGCTGACAGCATCACAGAACATGATCCTATAAAGAACAGTAGTGTGCAAGATACCAGCTCATAGCTAAATAAAGGGTAACCATTAAACAAGCTACAGAAATTAAAATGAAAATAAGATGCAAACAAGAAAAATTGCAAAGAAATCTGAAATGCTACTTRAGACAATTGAGGTAGCATTCAGAATTGAGTATGTTTAATGTTTACATGAAGTTCTAAAATATAAATCAGTATCTTTGCAACAAACTTCAGGCAAACTATCTTTGGTTCTTGGGCTTGAAAAGGTCCAAGTCTTCTTGGAACATATTTCTAAGGTAGACTATACATCTCCCTACTAAGTTAACACACATATGCTAAAGATGTGTGAAGCTAGACGTAATTTTGTATGAAGAACCCAAATAAGTAAGTCTTTTCAAAAGATTCATTAGAGATGCATGCTTTTGCATCTTCAAAAGCTCAAAAACATTTTTCAACACATACATTCCAGTGAAGCTTTATAAAAAGGTTAAAAAAAWAAGCATATAGAAAACAAAAAATAAGGTGTTTGAAAAATTCATTACACACCTTGGTCAAGATGTCATGATTTAACCAGAAATTCCAAGCACCTCATATTTTGAATGCCCAACAAAAAAAGCACATTTTAAAATGTCAGCTTTTGTAAGATTATTTTACCAATCTCCAAAAATTAGGATTTCTCAGGCTTCGTAAACTGGTAACTCAAACATAGGTTAAAAAAAAAAAAAAAACCCAAACAAATAAATAAACAAACAAAAAATGGTCCTGACTCCCAACAATACCTACAAAATAGCCAGTATAAATAATGTGCAATAATAAAAGCAAAGAAAAAAAAGCCTACATTATTTCTACAGGCAATATCTTTTGAAAAGGCAATAGAAAGTTATATACAATTGAAAATAAAAGCAGATTTGCATGTTTGTCAGAAAGTGATGACCAAGCCAGATGGAAATGCTCTCACTCAAACAAGCCTTGCATTTTAAGTTAAGTTCATGTAGCAGCTGACTTCATATACACTCAGATTCTAGAAGCCTACAGAAAGGCAGCAATTAGCATGGGAAGAGCAGGTGTCACTAAGGCTTAGTGACAACTTTAAGCAGCTATTGCTTCCCAACTTACCATCTTCCTTTTCCTTTCTGCAATCTGCTCCTCTGATTCCATTTCTACTTCATTGCTAATAGGAGTTTTTTCTTCTATATCATCAATAAAATCTGGCTCCTGAAAGATGGAAATGACTGCTTTACAGAAGCTCCACTACTCTTGCAAACTAGGGAAAACTAAAAGCTACACAGAACTAAGAATCCTCAAGGTCACTACTTCAAAAGCAACCACACTTGATAAACCAAGGCAAAATGCAAAAGCTAATAGCCACTTGAATCCTTGTATAAACCTAAAAATATTACCACCTGACAGTCTTATCCAATCTGATCATAGATACTATCATTTCCCACCCCCGCCCCCTCCAATGTATTAATCTTAGCAAAGTTCTTGGAGTTTGGGTTCCCCCCTCCCCTCTACCAAAATTATAAGAATTAAACCTCTAGACCAACAGAATAATGAGACAGTGACAGTGGTCACTGATGTAGYCACTTGAAAAAAAAAAAGTAATTTAAAGAATTAGGAGCTTTACATTGCATATCCACTAAAAAAACAAACTGGACATTAGTTTTAGTAAATAGAATGAATACGGTCATGTTAAACAGATGTTAATGATAAGTTACATAAATTTGTTTTCAGCTCACAAGTGCCTTCCAATGAAGTGACATAAATCATTACACTGTAGTGAGCGTTTAATACTCTGATAATGATAATTTCTCTGATAATTTAATACAAGTGATAATATTGGGGGGGTAGGGGAAAAACAGTTACAAAATACCCACTTAATTTTCAGGTCTGTTGCAAACCAAAAAAAAATAACTTTGAATTATGTAACTAAGAATCAGGTATTTGCTAAACCTACATAGAATTTTAATAGATTTACCTTTTGGTTAGTGATTAGCCAGAACTCTTAACACTGATCTTACAAGGTGTTTTACATTTTCTCATGTGTTTTTTAGCTATTTTAATATTTCATTACAGGAGAAGAGCTATTATTTAACCAACTTCTATATTCAGATGCACTGCTTAACAGCTCTGCTCTTGTCACAACTCTTATTGCTTTAAGTTCACTGTTGTACACAACATTTGAGCTCTCCTCTCCTGTGACTGACTGTTCTTTACAAACCCTGTGTATTACACTAAAAACCCAGAAGAAGGTTCCAAACACCAGTTAAAGGCTTTAAACAAATAAATCACAAGTACAATGAGGAAGTCTGAACGTCACCTCTGCGGATCGCTACCTGCAACAGTCACATGTCATGTCTTACAGGCTTCCAAGCATGAATTAGCTGCTAGAACCCCCAACCAATTCAACAGTCTCAGATAAATTTGGTGCCAACCTGCTAATTTGCAGGGTTCTTCATTCATTGTTAGGGAGGAAGAAATTTGAYATGGCTCCTTTCTCTCTGCCCTCAAATCCTCACTGTAAAACATCAGATTCACTAGAAAAAAAGTTAAATTTTCTTCTAAAACAAAACAAAAAAAAGGCTGTTACCATGGTAATCATATTCTCCTGTAATGTACTTTTCTCTTTAACAGCTGCTTTGTAAAACTAAATTTATAATGAATTTTCACAGATCTCTCTTGCTAGTTCTTTCAAATTAATATGTTAAAATAAAAATAAAAATATAAAAAAATAAAAAATAAAAAATGAAAATTGCCTACCACTGTATACTGCCAGTCAGCATCTACCTATTATCAGCACTTCAGTTCTAAACACATCCTTTCCAATTCAAATGCTATTTAAATCTATCAACTTTAAATCTATCAAAGATGAAGGCACAGCCAACATAAAAAATTCTGGTTTGAAATTTTATTTGTTATGCTATGTTTTATTAAGCTCACAACTGATATATGCAGCTAACCAAAAGCCACTGCAGAACAGCTTGGGAGATCCTGAAGGCAAATGACATGAGACTTTTTACATTAGAGATCCGCAAAGAAATTCAGAGGGAGAAAAAAATAGGAGGGAAAAACAACTGGCAAGGGAACTAATGTATTTTAAATCCAATCAGGCTTCAGAAAAAAAATGAGACAAAAAAAAAAAATCACAGCTTATCCATCATTATGATTTTTAATAAAATCATACAACCCTTTTCAATAATGTGTTATAATTCCTTTAGCAACTACAAAGGAGAGTATTCACATTTAAAGCTTTTCTTTCTAATCACTTTTTGCCCATACCTGATTATTAGAGATGGAGAGCCTGAGGGGAGATAGCTTCCTCTGCTTATTATCTGGGATTTTAATTTTGTTGCCTGCTCCTTCACAGTCCAATGTGATGTTCTGATTTTGAGTCTCCTTTTCTCTTGAAGCATCCTTTTCTTTCTTTCCTTTTTTTCTCCTGGTCTCATACCCAGTGATGATGTTTTCGGTAGGTTCGGAACGTCTCAGAACAGGACATTCAGGATTCTCTTTGAGGCAAGCGCAATCCACTTTGTATTTACTAAAAATAATTAAATGCGAGAAGGCAAATTCTTATTAGGTTGAACAGCAATGACACTTTTCATCACTAAACCACATAGGCTGATACATTTCACATTAAACATCTATGATGCAAGCCAATCATGTTAAGAGCATTTAACTCAAGTTTTGACCAACACAGACATTGTTACACTTCCAAATTCTCAGCTACCAGTTGACAGACAATGTTGCTCTTTGCAATCTGCAATTCTTTTAAATTCAAGGTTAGTATTTGCTTATCAGGCTAGCACATTAAAAACTTAAAAATACATTCTCAGTGAAGGTATAATCCCCACAATAACTACCCTCTGCCCTTCACTGCTTTTTTGCCCCTTTTTCATTGAAGAAACACACAAACCACTTGTATACAAGGCTCCTATACCTGTTTGAACAGAATACTGTCGTTAAGTGTCTGATAAGATGTGCCTTCAGCAAGCTGAGTTATGTGTCTGACCATGTATACACAACCGAAGTCCAAATTCTATTTGCATTTATCAGGCCAACAATTAGAGCAAGATGCTGCATCCAAACACATATAACCTTTACTGACACATTTTGAACCATGATTCATCCATGTGTAATTGCTCTGTCTGTATCTACTCTGTGGCATGCCAGAAAGTTCTTGCTTTGGGCAAAGAAAGATGACAAAATTCACAAAAAGAGCATTCTGGAAACAATCCAGGGACATTTTTGCGCAGTTTTCCTGCAACTTACACAGGCTGACAGGTGCAGTCACTTAACTACTGTCTACTTAGGATGGATAAATAACRAACTCAAAAACCTACCACCTGGGCAATTTCTCAGGTCACCCTCACATAAGGGATGCACGAGTTTGTCTACAACAGGTAACACTACAAGATTATCTCAAGCTAGCAAGAACCCGAGTTGGTTATAACAGGCAGTACTCCATGGACATGCCACCTCAGGTCCAGAAGCAGTAAAGCCAGTCTGCACAGCACTGCACCGAGCTGACTTATCAGCAGAGCACAGAAAAGTGTATTACCTTGATGCAGCAAGATGTGAAACTGCTTCTGGACCTGAGCAAGTGCACACGCAGAACTAGTGTCCTCAATGCTTCCGTTTCCAAGGTTAGTATTAGCTTAGATGTTCCTGCACATTGTACCTATACCCTAGAACATTTCCTACTAATCAAGAAAAATCATTACTAGATTATAGCACTCAAAGGCCTTATTTTGCCATCAGAGAGGTCTTTGAATAACACAATTCATGCGTATCAGAGTTAACTTAACCTAATACTTCCCTTTATCATTTCAAGTCGGTGCTTACAGGCAAGACTTCAGTTTACTCAMACTCTCCCCAGTTCATAACTGAAGCAGTAGCTAACATCCAGGAGAACRTATTAATAGACAGGTTATACAATTTAAGGCACTAAGCCTTCAGTTAATTACATATTAAACAAAAACATGATTCACAATTAAATCACACAGAAACCGACTTCCTAAAGCTATGCTTCAGAGGCACTCTGAAATAAACAGAATATAACCAATTTAAAATATTTTTTACTATGCTCCCCACATTATGGGTCACAAAACCTTCATAGTACATCTTTATTCACACTGATTAGTTTCTATCTTTTTCAAATCATTTACAAATACGGGCCCCATTCCTGAAATTGGCAATACCTATTCAGAAATAAGGAAAAAAAAGCCTTAATATCCACTGTTCATTGCAAGAATGTATTGAAGGAGTATTGTGTTATTAGAGCATGCAGAGAAATGACATAAGACAAAGTCAYGCAGAGTCTGTCACCACACAACTCAATAAGCATGCTCAAACACTTACCAATTTCCATAATCAAAATCAAATGCAATYGTAATCTCAGCTCCCTTTGGAATGTTATGGATGGAGTAAATATAAAGATGAATTGTTCCATCTTCAATTACATGTCTCACCTACAACCAAAAAAACCATTCGTATGTTAAAACGCATTTTTATTATTATTTTAATTTTAAAAAGATGTACACAAAAATTGTTGGAAGTGCTAAAAATTAGCAGTGGGGTAACAATGTATATCCTTACCTCTGCATTTGGTGTACAYGAACGCCTGATGAATCGAGCTTCGTTTCCAAATGTCCTTGCATCAACACACATTTCTAGCCCATGAAATTTGGAGTAGAACAAGACAAAAGGGTATGGCCTGAAGGAAGACAAAAAAAMCCCATCATTTTGTCCTTTTCCAGATGTTGTTTAAGTATGGCTTATTTTTCACATCAGTTAGCTCTGTGCCATGATGTTGCCATGATATAAAGAATTTGAGAGTTAATGTGAGAATGACCTGTTGGTATTAAATGTTTCCTACTTCTAACTGGTATATTCTCAAAATAAATTTCAAGTATATACTGACAATATAAGTTACAACCCTGAATATTATTTTTCTGCATGGGACYAGGAACAGTCAAATGAGAAAAAAGAAACACAAAAGACAGTGTTCGTATTTGTCACTGAATAAAATTTTCCTCAATGGAAGTGAGGCAGGAATTGAGGTGTACCATGGTCATTTAGGGAAAAAAAGAATACTCCCTTGAAGAAAGGGACTATTTAAGCATTTTACCAAGAGGTGCTTTAAGGTCTGCTATTACAAGTGCCTGGGAACACTTCAGTTTTTACTRSKYAASMWYTTTACGCTCTCACTTCTCCAAGAGACCTCTCTATTTCCAAAGCAGGTGTGTCCTTGTGCTCCACGGTCCTCACAGGGTTGTGCTCCCACTACCCGTAACTCAACAGGCAGACAGCACTGAGACCAATACACAGAAGGGKGGGCAGCAGTTCTGGAAGAACTCATTCCAGATCTTATTATTTTTAGCGGAAAAACAGCAGAATCCAAGGCACAYTGGTACGCGAAGTGGGAGCCTGGCAAAACATCATTTTAAAAGTTACCTCATTAAAATATATTTGGAGTAAACAAACCTTTTAAAGAAATATCCGTTAGCTTCAAATTGTTCTCTCAGCATGAACTTTCCTCTGTATTCAATAATAAGAGCATCAGGAGGCAATTCTTTGGCAGCTTTTAAAATTTTCTTGTTTTTTTGCACATAACTCTATGAAGAGAAAAATGAAACTATGAAACATCCGTTTCCGCCAAATTTTTCACTATGAACACCAGATTATAGGTCACCACAAATGCAACGCTATGCAAAATTAAACACTAGTGAGCTCACACCTCTAGCTTTCACCTCCAATTAAAACAAACAGACAAAAAAAAAGTGATATCTAAGCAAAGAGCTCTACAAACACAGGATATCCTCCTTAGAGGAATATTCACGTAACATGATAGGGTTTGCAGGAAAAGAAGAGAAAATGCTTCTATTAATCTGCTACAGCAACTCATCTTCAAGATTTCTTTTACAAAAATGCTGAAATCAACATATAGCTTTAATTTTAAGCTCATAAATAAAGGATATCAGAGATATTGCAAGATTTTTTCATAAAATACCAGTTACAGAGGATGGCACAGCACAGACAAACATCAACAACAAGCTGCCATCTCCTCATTGCTAAACTGTCTAAAAAGGTATAGCGAACAGCTTTGGTTATAGCAGTAAGGAGCATTATACAGTCAGTGAAATATCTTTTTTTCTTTTTTTTTTTTTTTTTTGCTCTACAGACACTTACCTTTGCAGAGCACTATGCACACCTAAGACCATATTTTGGTTGCAGTCCTTGCTATTTGAAAGCTAGTTACTAACATCTAACCGGTACATGATCTTGCTTCCAGGCCTTGAACGTACCAACTACCATCACAAATGTCCTTCAAGCACATGTCCAAAATGAAATTCTGTTTAAATGTCTCTACGGACAGAATAGAGTCACCACATTTTACAGGGACAGGGGTGGGTAGAATTCCTTTCTGATGCTTTTTCCTGCTCTCACCACTCCTGACATGCCTCCCAGAGCAGAGACCACTAGCAGGGAAACCTACTGTGTTATGGCCTTCATAGAGGCCATGTCCTAAGAACAACTCAGTTTTCAAGTCCAGCACCTTCACTATTCTTACAAGAATGATGCTTATATTTGTGAGACAACAGAGAACAAACATGTTAAGATAGGAAAGAAATTTTAAGGTATCTAAATGGCTTTTTCATGACATGAAAACATCATACAAACACTCAGCATAGCCTGGCTTGTTACCTCTACTGGAGGTTTGAAAATCAGATTGCTGGTGTTGACTTCTTTCTTGTCATTCCCATTGCCTAATCTCAGGGCTATTTTTTGTGCCTCCCTCTGGACACCTTCACTGTACTGGTTATTATTTGCTTCTTCGTAACGATCCATCCATGCTTTGATTTTAGTTTCCCATCCAAAGTTGGAACTGTCAGTAGGATCAATCTCTGGAGCTGAGCCCTGTAAGTTACAAAAAATGACCAATGTTTACTCACCAAGGTATGCCAGAACAGAAATTAGTTTTAAAAAGTAATGCACTCTTTTCAACCTTGTCCTGTTTACAGTTTAAAAGGTTGAGATAAGTGGCTCAAATGAGGTCCAGAATTCAACTTTCTTGCATAGCACAAGGGTGCCCTAATTTCTAATTTTGTTTCTAGGAACAAAAACAAAACCCCACAAAATATCATCTGAGAAAGAACATCTTGAAATCCTAGCCTTCTCAGAATAAAAATCTACACTACTCTCATTTTGCAGTATTTTTGGAAGGTTTTATGCAGAGCATGAAAAAAATGTACTAGTCATATCATATTTTAAAATTATGTTATGTATATGGTACATTGGTTGTCATTAGATGTCATTAGATGAAATATTATATAAAATATGAAGTATATTTTAGAGCATTAGTGTGCTTAGATGCAAGTGATACCTCTAACAAAAATTAAAATACATAAAACGAGGAAGAGAACTTTCAAAATGCAGCTGGAACTACACCTGAAGTGATCAATACTTAAGCTTCAGAAAAACAACAACAAAAATTTACCTTTACTCTTGAAGATTTCCTGGACCCTTCTCGAAATGCCTGAAATAAAACAGAAGCATTAAAACATTTTTTGGGGAGGGGAAGAAGAAAAGAATGTCAACTATTAAGAAAGTAACTATTTTACACAGATTGTTCTCAAGAAGCAATCAGGATTATGAGAAAAGAAATAAGGTCCATTAAAGACTTGATAAGACCTTTCTCTCAGGTTATAACAGTTTCAAGGCAGAATATGTCAACAGTCACTTTATGAGTACCAAAAACTTATCAGTCACATCCTAAACAGTTTGTATCCTGCTTTTTTGCATATGTGGATTTTGGGGTGCATAGGGAAAGGCACCAGCTGTCACAGGTAGCTTATATTTTCTTAAATCATCTCAACTATGCTATCCTGGAAAATAACAACTGACAACCAAAAAGAGGGAGGAAAAACAAAGTGGCCAGGTAATTCACTGCAGTGGAGTGAATCTTAACTGTGAATCTAAAGTGAAACTAATATTGTGATCTAAATCCAGATAGTAAAATAGTAACAACAAGAAACTCTGTTTTTTTAACCAGGTATCCCTTGGTAAGCTATGTCATATGGCTATAATTTACCTTAAAACATAGCATAACATAACCAGCTATAAAGAATTAGTTACTTACTTTTTTACATTTTGCTATGTTCTGCTCTTTCTCCCCACTTTTTTTCCTTTTCTTATCATTGACTTTTGTAACTCTCGCAGGATTTACAGTAATTGTAGTTGGTGTATGTTGAAAAGCAGTATATAGTTCCACAGGAACCTCATCACCACTTTCCGTTGCACTGGTATCCCCATCTTTAAAACAAAAAGCAGTTCATAAATAATCTGTACTGTAGAAAGAACATCTTACTGTGCATCAAGTTTTAAAGAAACCTAAGTGTGCCACTCTATTGTCAAATACTCCAGGTACTCATATGCAAAATTCACCTAAAGTTTTAACAATACGAGAGAAACTGGTTTATTAAGAGGTGTTTGTAATGCCAGGTAAGCAAACACATCAAATAAATTCCATCAAATTAATGCAGTGGTTGTGAAATATAAATGAACAAACAAGCAACACCGAGCCACACACACACACATACACATTCACTCTCTTTCTCTCCCTCTCTCATTCACCTACATACAACTTCTACATTTAATACTGATTTGAGATTTGCTCAGTTATGGATGCTCTATTTTCAGTCCCATAGTTCTAACCAACTGTTTAGTCTCCAGTTTCAGAGCTGAGTGCCTTGTTCAGGTTAAGTATGTCAATTTAGTGACTTCACAAAATCCCCTAAAAAATAAAATCCTGCTACTTGCAAGAAAAAAAGAACAGTAAATCTATTTTATTTCTTAAAACAAGACCATTCACAAACTGCTAGCAGATTTTCACTTGTGCTGTATACCTCTACCCTCAAAATTTAGTGCGAGTCAGCATGTATGTCAGATAAACATATATCCTGACCTGAAGCAAGAGCTATCCCAGTTCTGTCAAGATGAAAGGTTGTCAAAGTGTGTGTAGGACTGGAAGAAATGGCACACAATAAATAGGAGACTGCTGTTCACACACACACACACACTGCACAGTCTTTTGAGATACAAGCAGCTTCTTCAAATAGTCTGCCTGCAGTAAATAAGCTTCACACCGAACAAGCGTTTTTCTAAAATTGCAGAGGAACAAGCTTGGCAGGTAAGGGAGCAGAGAAGAGATTCCTTCTGAGCTCAGAGGGATGTTGCCTTATCAGGCACAAGGCTTAATCATTGAGCAGGCCTGTTATTGAAACCCTCTTTACTAAATAAAGGGCTTCAACTACTGTTTTCTCTTCATTTTTTTTTTCTGGCTCCTGTTAACGCCTGTAAAYGTATACCGATACAGTTTAAGAAAGCACAAAGAATGAAATTATTTTTATTTAGTTTCTCTGCATTTCCAGTTCTTCATTCTGAAGTGGAATCAGAATTGCCATCTTCACTAACAGAAAATTTACCAAGTCACCAATATCCAAGACTGACTTAAGAATCACTGTGACAAAACACTAAGAAACTGCTATTTCTGTTTATCTATAAATGCTTGAACAGTGATATAAATAAGGCCCAAGACGATACACTGAATTAAAAAAAGAAAGAGATATTGAGTGAGTGTTCATTTGACAAGTACCATTCACTGTGTGCAGTGAATGTGGTGTGTATATGGAAGGAAGACTAGGGAGGGGAAGGAAGGTGGGGGGAAAGATTTTTTTCTGTTTTTTTTTTTTTTTCTTTTTTTTTTTAAGATTACATTTGTGATAAGAGTTTACCCTAACTTTGTGTCTTACTTTACAACCCTGGTGTTACTTTAAATAGTTTGTTCACCACATAGTTGCAGTTACCTGTAACATGCAGATCTAGTTATACATGTATATATATTGGCTAACTAATTTTCTGGAGTTGTTTCACACCTATTTGGAGTATTTTCTGAACTAGCATCAAAAAAAAGTCACATGGAAAGAAGAAAGATCAACACAATTATGAATGTTAGTGAAGAGCAGAACATTTAACAAAATAAATGAAAAATCAGGACATTCTTGAAAAGRCTGATGTTGAATTCTGTATGCTAGTGCCTACAGACTCATTAGGTCCCAGGAAAACAAACAAACAAGAAAAACACACACAACAGCCAAAAAAAGATAACAAAAGACACATGCAATCTTCCCTAGAGGAGCAGCAACTCAATATTGTTGTCTCTGCTACAATCCAGCCTACTAGCACTACCTCACCCTAGTTTCTAATTACATGAGATTGTTTTGAGACACTCCTTCCTAACCAACAAAACCTGCTCCCACTTTGAGGAGCTTTACTAAAGCACATGGAGGGAAGATTCTGAGTCATGGGGAGCAAGATATAAACTCTCCAAACTCCACTAAAAGCTCTTATGGGCCTAGACTCCTTTCTCTCTAAGTAACACACAGTATCACCAACACCAACTTCAAGACTTCATAGTTTGAAGCAAGTTACTTAAACATATACATCTAGATACTGCATCTTTCAAACAACAAACAATAGCCCCCTTCCCCCCCCCCCCCCCCCCCCCCCCCCCCAGTTAGGGCATATGTCCTATTCCAAAACATATTTACGGATACAGTTCACAAGAAGCTTCACAAACATGCTCCAGTGAGCCATAATAATCCACTCAACACAGAGATTATACCAAAAAAAAAAAAAAATCAGCACCACCACATAGAACTACAGGCCCGAGCACTGTTAAAACTCTTTGTCTTAGCAGATTAAGAAAGAAAAAAAAATGCAAAAAGTAGTAGCTGCTATGATCAAAAAGTTGTGTTCCTAAACAAGATATGTGAAGCCAAGGTAATGTGGATAGACAGTGAGTTTTAGAAATCTCACACCATATCTGCAACATGTGGAATTTCCACCCAAGAACTCTTAAGGCCAACCAAGATATCTACTATTCCCTCTCCAACATTAAGCTCTAGAGGCAAGGTGGCTAAAGCAGGGGCACTTGAGAGATCTTTAGAATAAAGTCATCCTATTTATTATAAGGCGTTCTTGAAATGAAAAGGCCTGTTATTTATAAACCTAATTTAAAAAATAGCCCTAATTACATGCTCTTTCACCAAACAACATTTACATCACACAAACCTTCCTTTAGTCAAACACGCGAAGAGAATGGATCCTTGCCTACTTCTTGCTTAATAGATTAGAGGCAACATTCTGCTGCTGTCAAGCATTTCTTTACAGAAAAAGCTTTATATATTTAATAAATTAAAAGCCATGTCTTCACATAAAACAATTTCAAACAGGGAGAAATGAAAGTACAGCTTTTACTGGTATGTGATAAAAGACAGCTCCCACCCAGAGCTACTTTAAGTCTGACTGAACTGTGCAGTACCCAATACACAAGGTGTATTTAGTCAAGCAAAGGAGTGAGTTGAATTAAAACCAACTAGAAACAGCCAGCATACACTGGTTTCAAATGAAAGCATAGATCAAATTAAAACTGCACTTCAACTCAGATTACAGCTTTATTTGCCTTGATTTTGAAGTATTGCTTTTAACTCCGTTTTGATATTAAAGACTTTGTATCATTTTGTCTCTTTTATCAATTGACTGCACATAACAGATTTGAAGACATCATCAGGATTATACATCAATCCAGAAACACATTTTGATACTGTMTATTGTCAGCAATTCTATCCAGGCTGAGCTCTGAAGTTCTGTATATAGTAGGAGGGCTAAGTTCATTAAATACAAATTAATACTGACCAAAATATGTACTTGTACTACAAACCTTATCTGCAGTCACGAAAGGCCAAAATTTTTCTAAGAATCAAGCTATAAAATTGTATTACCTGATGTAGTGAGTTTTGTGGATGACAAAAAAAAATGCCTAAATTTCTTCTTGCACATTGCCTTAGACCTCATTTATTATTTTAAGAAGTTCATTTAATTATATCAGSTATGAAATTGCATGAAAATATCAATATTAGGATGTGAATCCTCTATGCTATGGAGGAAGATCTGACCAAGTTACACTCCATTTTTTTCCATGAACCAAGAGATAAGTCTTAGTATTCCTCTCATCACAGGAAAATAAACAATCAAAAGTCTTTCCTATCTATCTGTAGAAGTTTATTCAAGATAACCCTGTTTTTAAAAATGCTACACTTTTCCCTTTCCCTTTTACACTTTTATCTTTTTCCCAAAAATTGTTTGCTGTAACAACTCCCTTCTTTCTGTACAATCAACTTCAGCTTCAGGGAACAGTTATCCTAAAACATGGTAAGTGTATTCATACATGAAAGATAAAATGTGAAGCAAAGACAGTCATTCTGCCGGAGCACCTGCTTTCAGGCAACATTTCTATGACTTTTTACTGACAGCTACATTGAGTACTCAAAAGACATTATTATTTCAGTTTTCTTCCCTTTCTTTCACATTCCATAAGCATCTACCACAGCTTACAAAAAATACAGAGAAAGGTCTTTTTCCAGATTCCTTGTAAAAGAGCTCTTTCCTCTTTTTTTTTTCCCTAAGGACAGGCTGGGAACCTTGAGTAGAAGGGGAAAATAAGGACTTAGATCCTATCCCTGCCTAGGAAATTCTGCTTATAACACAACAGTTCACCTATCTGCAGTCCCGAAGTAGGACTCTAAATAGCTTGCTAAAGGAATTACTGAATGCATGTCAGTTGGATCCCTCAAACCTGCAGCATACTAAATACTTCCTAAAAGAAAGAAAAAGGAAATAAAGAAAATAAAGGAAACATTTAGTAATATAAAAGTAAATAAAAACCACTACTAAATACAATACAGTGGGGGGTTGAAAAGCTTACATTATTAGTTCTACTAGAGTTATTGTTTTTAAGAAAAATCATGAAACAGAATTCCAGTTTATATTTTAGCAATTCAAATCAGTTGATTGAAGTGAACTGTGTATACGCTATTAAGTCTATACAAATGACATACTACTATTTATGACCTTTACTGATGAAAATTTCTTAAGCTCTTGCTTTACCCACCTGACATATTTTCCCTTTTTCTTCGCTGCAACAGCACTGCCCTTTCTTTATCTAAACTCCTGCAATTAAAAAAATAAATTTTAGTGCARTCTTTACACTTGGTCATTAACACATTCAAGTACTGAAATAGAGCTTTTCATAGTTACACATTCAGTTGGCTACTACAGATTAAACAGAGTATGTACACAACTAAATTCTTAGATACTTATTAAAAATATATCGGATATACTCATTTTACGTCACTGCAATACAAGTGATTATAGAGACATCCTCAAGAACCAGTTTTATGTCAATCACTTGAAAATCTAGCAGAACTACACATGTATAGGTGAAAGCTTGACAGGTGAACTATGGACTACAGATAAGCAAGCCTTATTCCAACTCCCTGCAGATTCCCAAAGCAAGTGCCACAATAACAGAAAGATGGTAGGACAGTAAGGTACAGTTCCCCAAACAAAAACTAATTACTTGGCAATTAAAGTGTTTTGAACACACATATCTAACCTACTATGTAAATAATAAGTCAGCAATATAAGCTTGTAGCGTCTTAGAGAATAAGTCACAGGCCAACTCTGCAGCTAATAAACCGAGCAGACAGGAAAAACAAAATGACTTGTTATTTGGCTTCGAGTTTTAGATAATAAAATACATATTTAAGGATGAAAAACCTTAGAATGAGCATTTTAACATACTGAGTGAGATCATAAAAAGGCAAGGTGCTGAGAAACGTTTGTGGGGCTTCGAAAGCACTGCTGTAAGATTCTCCATGCACGACCACCATAAAACAAAATATGAAATGGATTTATATACTGTGTAGCCGGAGAAGGCATGCAGGAGTCAGTGCTATTTGGTATGTTCTCCTATTTATYCGTGTCACCTAGTGAAGTGAAGCAATGATTACCCTGATGAAGGAAAAAAGACCAACTACATCATTTGCCTCAAAAAAAAAAAAATGTAGCTCCTTTATCTAAAATTCTTATGATTAACGCTACGTCTTCTATGTTTTAACCGGTAGGTTGTTTCAGCTTCTCCCTTTTAAACTTCAGTTTAAAAGGGGGGGAGAGGGGGTGTGGAAGCACATGAAAAGACCTAAGGATTTTCTCATACTCTTGATATAATGAAGTCATACAACTAACAGACACCTTCAGAGAACCTAAACTTAATCCAGCAATTACTAATTTTGTCCATAGAAACTGCACCTCATCTACTTTTAATGCAACACAGACCTACTCTCTCCTCTTACTAGGTCACCAAGTTACCAGTTTATTTAAAAAAAAACAAAAAACAAAAAACAAAAAACATCTGTTTAAAGCGTTTCTTATACGCTCTACTTATTCTCACTTTTAGAGCTCAAAAACATGCAAACTACTCACCTTGGTTGACAACGTTCACACAGATAAGTGTCTGGAATATGTTGCCTGTCAATCCCCATGCAGTCAATGTGCTGCCAAACACTAAAGAGAGAGAGAAGACAGCACACTTAAGTTATTTTAAACATATTTTTTAAAATTGTGTATGTGTTATGTTAATCATAATCTTGTTTCAGAGCRAATGCTCCCTAACATTGCCTATCAATCACCATCTTCATCGTGACCTCTCTAGCTATTTAATTTAATATATTAAATTGATTTACAAAAGGATTTCATTTGCTTGAAGAAAAACAGACAAACAAAACAACATGTGCTTTTGCATCTTAAGCCACTGACAACCTATGATTTCTGGCCACATATACTTTTGTAGTCAAGCAAGATCCTGCACGGGAGCAGATGTCTCATGACTGGTAGTGCTGTTGTGCAACCCAGCAAGAGCTTTCTACAGCTTTTCCACCACTTCAAGTGGCTGCTTGCTAGATTCAAGGGTAGCCTAGGATACCAGCTGGTGCCCAACCCCAGATTGCTGCAAAGAACTGGGACATAAAAATCACTGTTCTCTTTCCACGTGTGAATTTTTCCACAATTCTCCCAATTCCTCATAGAAAATTGCCTCTTTGCAAGGACATACCCCACTTAACCTGTGATTGCACCTCTACTGCTGAAATAACTCCTAAATACATCTCAAAAGAACAACATGAACACCCTGGTAAGTTTGGTAGCATCACTTCGTTCATTAAATGAACTGAATGTGATAATATGTCTAATTAATACTGGATAATTTCAGAAACTGTTTTCTCCTGCTAAGTGCCAGCTCAAAAAAACCCACTAAGCTGAATTTCCTAATGCTCCAGCATTTAGTAGCATCCACTAATTTTACTACAGTCTAGTAGGTACTCAGGTACAGATGCTTAAACATTTAGCTTCAGCTTCCCAAATCAAAATCTAAGCTAATACTTAATGTGAATTCAAATTCTTAATTTTTAAGTCTTTTGCAGATTAAAGAGCTCTTGTACCAGAAACATAATGGGAAGAGAATCTAACATTTGATAAGTTTGTCTTTTATGTACTCAAATTTACTACATATTTAATTTCCTGCAAATTATTTGGTTTATGTGTACATAGTTGACAAAGCAACTGAACCAAATTATTTTACAGGTTAGTACATTCAGATTAAGAACTAATTTCTGCATTCTTATATCATCGTAATAACAAAGACCTAAGAAAAAAAACACTAAAGAGATGGTTTATAAAACAGAAAAAAATGAGGTATTCTTAGGGCAACAATATAGCAATAAAGGCTTAAAAAAACACAAGTAGTCAAGACTGTAATGAAGTGTTAAAATATTCTCTGGACTTAAATCTACCATCTCACCCATTAAAAAACTGTATGACCATAAAAACACTATTTGATGAAGAAAACTTCTTATGAATCAGCACAATAAAAAAAAAAAATCAGTCACACTTACTTTCTCAGGGCAGCTTGAAGTTCTAAGTCATTTTTACCTTTTTGAGTCATTCAATATTAATTACCTGCATTTGTCACAACAGATCATATATCCATCATCATGTGTAAATCCACAAATGCATCTGGTAATATCAGTTCCATAGCTTCCATCCTCTGATGTACTGATGGTTGTAGCACTGGAGGTTTCATCAAAGTTGGGAGTGGTAAATATGCCTACTTCATTCTTGCTGATAAGCACTGACGGAGGAGGAGAAGCTGGAGGCGTTGGAGGAGGCCGAGCACCATAGTTATGGTCCTAGATTGTTAAGATAAATTACAGCTCTTAAATATTCATACACTCAGCTGKTTTTTTAAGACAAAATGTAAAAATAACTTGTGATAACTGTATTTTTTCCTAATAATAGTTTAAGTTGTTATTTCTGCATTATTCTCCCTCAACTTCTTTTCTATCTGGCCCATTATATTTGACATAAGTGCAGTACTTTCTACATTTGGCTTTTTATCAACCACCACTACATTTATTCAATACTGAATAAAATATAAAACTCTATTTGTGAATCAGGGGTTATTCCAGTGAAGAACAACAAATTTCATAAAATCTATTTCATATATAACACATAGTGTGAAACTTACTGCATAGGGCAGACCAATGTAACTGTGTGAATGCGAGCTGCTGGTGTACAACTGGTGCGGATAACTGTTCGATTTTTCAACTACCACAGGGCTAGCTTCTACAGATTCTGGTCTGAAAAGCAAATGAAAAATAAATATGCAATTATGTGTATTTGTTTCACAATAGTTAAGTAATTACCTGATGTTCCAGTTAAAAACAGAAAAATGCATACATACACAGCAATCTGAACAACAATAAAACTCTTCTCCCCTCAGTTCCCCATCATCTCCCAAAAATATCCTTTCTATCATCTGAAAGGAAACTTTGAGAATGGCAGAGAACTCGAGCTTCTCTAGAGTTACAAAATGTTCTTCAAAATAATTAGAACAGCAAATGTTGAATCTCTTCGGATATTCTGCAAATCTGGGAGTACTTCAGAAAAAGCACAATTACGCAGTTTGTTAGGGAGTCATGAAAATGCCTGTATCTATAGAGATGTAGCAAAACCTGCAGAAAAAACTTGAGCTTATGAGAAGAAGAAAAAAAACCAAAATATACACAAGGAGCAATCTCAGAGCTGCCAATCTTTGTGCAGAGTCACCTCACTGCCTCCAATTCTGTTCCATTCTGCAATGACATCTAGTGGTATCCTCTGGGCAGCACCTTTAACCACACAGAGGAACCACAGCAGGGACATACTGCAAACAGTCATCATGGATACAGCAATTTTTCTTTAAAAGAACAATCTATTGATTTATTTTAAGCTGCCAAGAATGAAGAAAGAAGACAAATTTGCAAGRGAAGTTTTACAGGCACTTTTAGCTGACTAATTTTGGTTAACTTGTGCTAAACCGCAACTAAGGCAAAAGTTGAAGGAAAACTAGAGACTTTTTTTTGTACAAAGTATTACACTTTTATTACCTTTTCTCATTAATTACATTTATGCAGGCATGCAAGAACATACATGCTCATGACCGAGATGTTCCTCTGGTCACTATCTTATGGCTTTTTCATTGTACAATCTTCACTGTACAACCCTCACAAACTTCCAATGAACACAGAATTACACAAGAACTTTTTTTAAACCAGCAGGTACAGTGAAATAGCATTATGTAATAAATTAAAGTGGCTTCTGCCTCATATCACAAACCAAGCCTAATCCATTTTTTAAGTTTTATTATGCATCTACTCTATTTCCCATCACAAATATCTAATACACATATTTCTTGAAATTTCAAATAATTTAAGTTGGTCTTTGTGTATCTTAAATGAAACACAAATGACTTTTATTAAAGATGAAAATACATTTAATATGCTTTTGCTTATTATTAGCTTACTCAAAAAATACAGTATTTTCAAATCTATTATGCAGAGTCCTATTAACATTTGTAATAGTGCATACACACACAGTCCTATTAACATATTGTAGCAGGTTTTTCATTATCTTTGTTTCTGTATGATAACACTGTATAAAAAGACTAATTTAAAACAGCATTATGCTGAATGCAAAGAACAAATACCTTTTTAAAAAACTGATGTCTAACAGTCATCAGCTGCATTGAGACAGACAAGAGCACAATCGAGAGCAGAAATCATGTGAAGTGTTAGCAATTTAGAAACAGAAACTCACACACATTSTGAAAGACAAAAAATGACCCTGAAGACCCTCTGAAGGCCTTTAGTTATTTCATAGGTCCAGTAAAATCTTCATTTCTTTCATCATGACACAATATCAGCACATCCATGGTTAAAAAATAATTTTATTCAGAGTTTGTTAAAAAAGCTGTCCGGAAAAGCAGCTGAAAATTCCACCGAAACACACAACAGTTGATGTTGGAAGGAACCTCTGGAGATCATCTGGTTCAACTCTTCTGCTCAAGCAGGGTCAACTACAGCAGGTTCCCGAGGAACACATCAACTTCCACAGCAAGATTTGCTAAGTTCAATAACACCATACTCAGAAAACAGAAAAAAAAAAAAAAAATCCCACAAAAACCAGCACCCCCTGTGCAAAATTAAGAGATAAGAGCTGGAAAAAGCTGTGCCTTTCCAGCAGACTTGCCTGTATTTATACACAGACATAATAGACCTTTGTGAAGTAGTTATATTCAAACAAGTTAATTCTGCTAACCACCTAGTCATTCAAAATGCCAAAGAATTAGAAAATGAATATCCATCTACCATGGTGCAAAGAAGTGAACTTCTAATTCAAAGGTTTTTGCCACTGCCTTGTTTCTACTGCAGTTTCCCACATTTACTGCAGGTTACAGAAATCTGCAGTCTGGGTGCCCTTCTCTACTATGTGTTTGATGCTCAAACTAGATTGTTTTCTTCAGTTCATTGACAATACTCAGTCTTCAGAGCAGAAAATATATTGATATGGGAGGCATGCAATTAWTGCACAGTCTGTTCTTCAACAATGCCACATTTGAAAAAATATCCTTAAAATATATATTTTTAAATTATCACCTAAATATCAGCTACTTCAGCATGTCAGAATTCAATGACAGATATCAGAATGGGAAAAGAGTTTATACATACTTCATAAACTGACTACAAAAATCAAAAGGGGCTGTACATCCCTTGCAATATATGAAGACAAATTGTCCTTCTAGCTCATCCTGCAAATCATAAATCACAAAAATCATAAAATATCATATAATTGATCTGTCRAGCACTAAGGTTAGCAAGTCAGAAACATGCTACATATTCCAAAGTAACAGCACTATAGAAGAATGACAGAAGCACCATAAGACCTTCCCATACCACATGCTGAAGTGAATAAAAAGGGCAAGATGTCCACTTAAAAAAAAACACCTACAAATATTTTTCAGCTCTCCAGAGGAAACGACTCACATCCTCAGTTATTTCCYACTGTTCACATTCAGAACAGTACAAACTGAAAAATATTCTGCATGTTGCCAGCAGGTGGCAATAGTGGCAGAAAGAAAATAAGGAAAAGACATGAGCTCAGTCAAGCTCATAAAAGCTAAGTCCCTTAGAGTTTTTATTTCAGCTATGTCAAGGAATCTGCTATAAAATACTCTAACCAATACAGTTAAAAAATGTAGTCTTTTTCCAGTTCCCTGTTATATATTGCTGTACTTCTGAATAACTAATAATTATAAAAGAAACGTAATTGAGTTTTAACATCCAAAATACCAGCAGTCCTTAGAACCTGGCAATAAATCCAGCTGTATAAAACCAAGGCTATTTAGAAGGCAAAGAAACTCTCAAATATTTCAGGCAGCGACTGCTGTGTTTTAAGTATATTAGTTACATTATATCAGTCTTCTCTCTAAATATATATACGCATAAATATCAAAAACTAGGAAGCACTATCACCAATACTTCTCTGATGCATAACTTAGGCTCCGAGCCATGCTAACACACTCCTGTATCAGAAAACATGTTTTGGATCATTAAAAAAGCTAAAAAGGTGGCTAAAAGATCACAGCTCTCATGGTATTTTAAAGACGGATTCTTTCAAAAATTACTGGTATTCATCTTTAGTGAGCCTTCTTCTCCAAGTAAAAGAGAACAGGTTACTCTGCATATATGATCACAGTGCTCTAGCTAAGAGGTTGCCATTTCGCTTGCATAATATTGCATGTATATCAATTTTTACTGAAATACATATGTATTTTCTTCTGTTAAGTTTAATTTAATATGGCACCATGAAGATAAAGTGTTGGATAGTCCAAGAAAGTGAAAATATTTTACTCCATCTGTAAGAAAATAAAATATCTTTAAAGAAAATGATTCTCTATATATCTACTTGCTACAATAATTATTAAATATACTGGTAGCAAGGTAATGCATGCATTTTTTTTAATGGGTTTATCCCACAATTTAAAGCAGAAGGCAAAGCTATGCTTAGCTGTAAGAGATATTTTCAGCTCCTCCTCCTCCATGATCAGGTTTGCCATTCCCTCTCTCTGTATAAGCACATGCGTTAGTGACCAAAAAAGCAAAATCAGACCTGTCAGTCACAATAGAGAAATTCCCTATCTTCCAACTTGGAAAAGAAAGAAAACCTGAATGTGCTAGGAGATGATCTCTTAAGAACACTAAGAAATGATGTGTTTACTATCAATACAACCTATACTCACAGTGCTTCTCTGTGCTAGTTAAAAAATACGCAAACAACACACCACACGTGGAAGACCAAAGTTTTCCAATGCATAATGAATTAACAGGCTTTAATTTTCTGCTCTACTTTTAAAGATAGTTCTTCCTGCATAACCTCTGATCTGTCAGAATGCCAAAGAGGCTTCTTAATTATGAATTTCAGAATTGGAAGCAGCGCTGAAGAAACTCATCACGGGGGAAAAAATACCACCTTATGAACAGATAGGCTAAGGACACAGCTTTGTGTCAAACTTCCTTACACAATGACATGGCTTTTGAATCASATTAAAACAATCATGAAATTACTTTTTATTCAGCATTAAGTACCATGGAAAATGCTTAAGGAGTAACTGTTAACAGGCAACTACTAGCGAGCAGCACTCCCTAACTGGGCCTCTATGCCACTGTATGAAGCAAGTAACGCACTGTAACTTGTTTATACTGACAACTGTATTTATTTATTCTAATTTCAACATGGGTTGCTGTGTCTGCAAGGAATGTTGGCAACCTGGGGAATTATGACTGTCTCTAAACATAGAGGAAATCCACAGGAAAAGATAATGGAAAGAGCTGCAAACAGTTCTCAAGTTTCTTGAAGAATTTTCTACACCAAGCAAATCAGTGTTAACAGTATCAAGAATCAACAACTTTCCGAGACAATAAAGCGCCCAASTTTCTTAAGAAGGATTCTTGATTTTCTTAAGTAGCTCGAAATCACATAGAAGACTAATATAACTACAGATAATATAAAACTAAAAACACTAGAGAAACATTCATTTGAAAAGATGTTTTTCATGCGATACAGTCTACTAAAAACTTAGTTCAATTTTGACAGAGGACAGACATTTACTCCTTAAAAGAAGCAATAGTGCAAAGTTAGTACACTCCCAAACAAACACACTACTAATAAAGACTATATATAAGCTGTAAGTTTATAGYGGTTATCCAATGCACCCATTATTTACTCTTAATCAAGGACCACTGTGAAGTCTGTTTTCATGCAAAGGATACATTAAGCATGAGAAATAGTAGGTAAAATACATCTCATGTATTGTTTCAATATTCAAAGCAGATATATACGTGCTTGTAGCAACTAAACATAGGGAAAGTCTTCAGTGTGATGAAGAAAAACTTTGCAGGTAGAGAAAGGGGAAGAGAAGCAACATACCTCACACGGTGAGATAAAAAAATTATTACATTTATATTAAAATATATTAAACCTGTTTTGGAGAGAGTTTTAAGTGAACTGTAGATTTTATGAATATGCCCAAAAGTACACATTTCAGTGTGTCTAACAGAAGCTCATTCTTCAACACTTAATCATATCCTGTGACACTTATCTCTCCCCTCCCCACAAAAGGTCAGTGTCAGACATTCTACTAACATAAAACTGCTAAATAAAACTGAGGTTGTTAAAACTGCAACGGGATGATGAACAACAAACAAACAAGAATTTTAACAGTCTGGCCCCTACCCCTTCAAAGTAGAAGCTGCCAAAAATATTGTATCTTCTCTTAAGAGCTGACAGGTGGATGCTGCACCTGATCCATTTTGGGAACGGGCAAAATTCCCACTCTACAAAGATGCTTTGAGACCAGCAAAAACTAAACTCTGACTTATCAACACTATAGAGTCAGATACTATCAGGAAAAAGACATATCAAAAGTTAACTATATTTATTACTTCTAAAGGGAGGATTTCTGATTTCTTGAMCCCAGGTTTTCTTTGCCTCATTTGTAGTCATGGCTATCCAATTTTGCTTTAATCAAATTTAATAAATTTTATTTACTATTARTAATATATTTACTTAATATATGAAAATAAAAACATTTAATATTMATTTTTATTAAATTTTGCTTTAATAATACCGTATTCGAACAATAACAAAGAACAGAACACTCACAGACTGTGTTCACATACTTACTCTGAGCCTGCAGCCATTTCCAAATAAGAAGTTTCAGCTGTGTCAACCCCCAATGGGATCACTATGCTCATGACGTTCGTTTCTGATAAATTCGATTACTACGGAGTCCTATGCATTGGTATCCAAAACACTGGGGCATGCCAGCCACAGTGCTCATTGCAAACATCTAAGTGCATCCACAAACCCTTGGAAAAAGAAAAGAACAGAAATCCCAGTCAGATATTTTAAAATAAATTATGCTACACAACATTTTTTAAAAGAAATCTTATATCATTTATGGTAATTACTTTTCAAAGAAACAAAATTAATAGAACATTTCAAATGAAGGTGGCAGACAGTCTTTTCRAGGGTATGAAAAGGTATGAAATTAAGATATATGATTTCAAAACGCTAACAGCTTAAAGCAGCTGTACCTCAATATCATCCATAATTAATGGAAAGGTTTTAAATCATGTCTTAGCAAAATCTTCCATTGCATTCCAGCAGCATCATCAAGGTTCTCATTGTTTAGAAACTAACTATATTTCTGCACTTTTCAATTGAGTTCCAGCCACCAAATGCAACTTCTGATAATCCAAGCTTTATGAAGTAATTGTCTCCCAATCTAAGAAACTGTAACTGAGCAGTATATCCTCTTTCAATAAATAATAGCACCRAAAGTACCATACATGATATATACACACACATATATGCTATATATACACACATACATATATATACACACACCCCTCTGTGAATAAAACATTCTATCACACAACAGCTTAAAATAAATTGAAATAAACTACAGTTTTTCAAGGACTACACAGGGAATTCACAGGTATTTGTGACAGAACAGATGTGAAAAACAGCTTGAAAAAAAGTACTGTAGAAAGTTAAAAACATGAATTCTGGTGACATTACTTTAAAACTACCCTAAGCCAATGCTTTCCTTCCTGTTCATTTAAATCAGGATTATGGAGAAAAATCACTGTCATTTTCAGTAAGGTGACAAACATTCCTTTTGCTGCAGGCATGCTGAATTCCAAGAGTATTTGCTCGCTCCTCTGTTTTCTCAGAGCCCAGGTGCTGTAACTTTCAGTACATGATGATACAATTTTTGAAGTGTTTCCCAAAGAGTACTCTTTACTTTTACTTTGCACTTTCAAAGTAACTTGGAACGGCCACAGTACAAACCAGGTATCACAATAATGCTAAATTTCTACTCAATTTTTTTTTCAAGTGAAAAATCATTCTAATGATTCATACTACCACAAAAYATCACTTTGAATCTCATTTTAATAGATTGCCATCAGAAGATGTTACACTCAGCACAAGAAAAGAAATCAGACATTTTTAGTAGTAATTTCTCAAGAAAAAAAAAACTCAAAYTGAAAAGCAGCAGATGGAGTTTTTAGCTGTGTGGATACAATCTGCTTTGACTCACAAATCACCAGAATAATCCCACCTGCATGGCAGCTATTACTAGTCTCCTCTCCTTGTATTTGCATTTTCCCCCCATGTCCTGTCCTATTCACTAAGGGCAGGAGACTAGTAATAGCACCTCATCTTTCTTCATTCACAGATTAGTAAATTAAGGCAATTTAATCCAGACATTAATTTTTCTCCCTGCTCTATAGCTAATTAACTGAAGCAAAATGCCCCACCTTTTCCATTTTCATACCGAAGAACTGCAAGGTCATTCCAAGACGCAACACTGCTAGCACTTAGCAATGTTTCCTCCATGAAGCCTTTAGAGTTCTACCTAACAAAGTGAGGTACAGTCGACAAATGTCTACCTGTTTGAGACCAGTGTATTTTCACCCATTAATCTTTGCTAAATCTACYACACCTAGAACAAAAAACTTCAAGGGCCTGGGAAAAAGAGAGGCATCTTTGGCAAGATTTTTCAGACAGGCATCACGAACTTAAATCTGGATTTTTTTTTTTTTTTAAATTGACAAAGTCATTACCTCCAGGACAATGACTGGCATCAAGTATTCATTTAACTTTTTTGAATTTAATCTCATTAGTGAAGTCTGGAAATTAGTAATAAACATCTCGGCATGCTCTGAAGCATCTAAATATTCAATACCTTGCTATTCCTCCRAAAACAAAAGCTGCATTTTGGGGACATTACATGAGTCACCAAATATACTGAACTGGAAAGCAATCAAGCCAGCTGTCTGCTGGGATTTCTTGCCATACTCATTTAAGCTCTAAGTACTTTCTTATCAAATATCAAAAGTGTCAAACTATATCACTAGTCATGCAATAAATTTCAGTAGCACACGATTTTCATGAAGAACAAGCAAGAGAAACCTGCTAAAACAACCAAGTATTTTTTTTCCACATAAAAGGAAGCAGAACATGACTGTAATGCTCCTTCTTGTTTTTCACTACCTCAGAATTTCAGGTGCTCAGCATCCCTTCAGGTCTTACCTACTCAGGCAAGTTGATTCAAATAAAYAAAGGTCATTTATGAACAACAACGCACGAGAAATTTGGAGGGAGAAAGAGGATGAGGGGGAACCACTTAAATCCATTACATTATACCGGATTATTAATGAAAATGTGAGCATATAGGTCACCTGCCGATAAAAGCCACAGTGATGCCAGAAAAAATAATTATTTTATATCATGTCAGAACAAAAATAGAAAGGTTAAGTAAATTATCAATGAGGAAATTTCTTCCCTACCCATCTTACAATGGTTGCTTATCCTTTTAAGCTCGAAAGTTTAGATGATTCCTGAAATAGTATTTGGTATCATAGTACAGTACTTCCCAATTTCTCCAAGTATCCATCTGTTCAAAGCAATTACCCTTTCAGAATAATGTGTCGCCTACAGTCCTCTATGAAGCTATTTTCATAGGTGCATTTCATTAAAGTAACTGACGGGGGAAGAAAACTGACAAGAAAGGAGAAGGCTGCTGGATAAGCTTTTTACAATCCAAACAAATTGCATGTAATTTACTGTTTAATAATCTCTACTGAAGGACTGCATACATTTAAAAATTAGAGAGACTGTACTGATCTGTCCAGTCATTTGAGGGTTTTATAATCAAAAGGCATTATACACAATACACTGTTTCAAAGTTTATAGATGAGTTCTTTATAGGTAAGTAGTACATACATCTACATACATGTATCTTAATTGCAACACCACGATGCTGGCAGCTTTGTTAGGAGAGGTCTTTATTCTTTGTGCTACTCTCTGTAAGCACTGAATTTTAGCAATTTCCCAATGAACCTCTGCTCGTCAGAATTTATCCATTATCAGCAATCAGAACTAATTTTTTTAAATGACAAAACTTTCTGCATTTGACAAACTTCTTTAATTGGAATTTGAAAGGTTATTTTGACCCCAAAATACGGCTTTCATCTTAAAAAGCAAGCAACCTTTGTTCAACCTGCTTAAAACTTCTACTTTGTTCAAGATTAACCTCTTGCAAGTAACTTATCACACTTCATTCAGCTGATCTGTATCTTTTGCGGTAGTTCATTTCTCCAAAGAATATACATGACAACCTAACATTCACACCAAGTCTAAGCTTCTGAAGCTTCAGTGCTGCTTCTTATGATTTACTTGCCTATGGCCCGAGCACTATTGTTCTAAGGGAGCAGTGCTCCAACAGAAGTTAGAGCACAATACATCTAAAATTATTTCATCTCTGTGGCTTTGTACAAAGAACATCATTTATGACGGAAAATAAATTACGCATTATCCCAGAGGTATTCCACTTACACAACGTTGTTCTGCGGTCTAACGAAGACCACATGTTCCTGCCATGTCCTTTTAAGATCAACTGTRTGACAGCAAAGGGGAAAAAGCACAACTTTCCCACCCGTATGGAGAGAAGATACACATATTATAGAGAGAGGGTTTATCTCCCGAATCAATAGGTAAATGGGTAATAATTGAAATTACATTAATATATATGGACCTAGTCCTACACATTCCAAAAAATCAAGACAATCTGTTCGCTATCTTCAGCTGTCAGAAAAAGAGAACTGCTTCAAGCCTATTTTTTTCAGATTTTTTTTTCTTTATCTTCCACTTGTTTCCTCTATGATCATCAAAAGCTGTACAGAGCAGYGTCAGGAAACAAGCAGACGACAGATCACCAAGGCAGAGAGTACGTTTGTGAAATAAGAACTTGAAATCAAGCCAAAYGGCCTAGATGACTCCAATAAAGTTTCATAATCACAGCTATCAATCATCTTCCATATGTCAGAGTCCAGACAAATTTTTCCACGGATTTTTTTTTCGAGTAGGATGTTAAAAAAAAAAATCTTAAAATCAGTTCGTTTTATTTGTATTTTACTTTATAAAGTCAAAAGCTGGGTCCCGAAACTGGTTCTCATTCATATTCATAAACAAAGTAACAATATAAATCTGATTAGAGAACTTTCACTTGTTAACACTGCATCACATTTCAAGACAGAAGAAACCAATGAGAACTATTGTACAAGAAAGCTACAGCCCACACGACCACCTACTAACACTGGTAGTAGTGTTAGTCCATCTACGAAAGATAYTCCATGATTTTTGAGAAGAGACAGGGAAAAAGAAAACATAAAAGAAAACCTGCTGGAATATAAATTTTATGCAGAACACTAAAGCTCTACTAAGGTAGACAGATGCAAAAACTTTCATAAGAGCCATAAGGATAGGATGTGGCAGCACAAATGATAAATGAAAAAGGCTCTAATGAGAAATTCATGTTCCAAGACAATCTCTAATGCTATGATAAAAAAAAGTTAACCTCCCTCCACCTTCACACCTAACACTGTAACAACAACAACAAAAATCTATTTTTACCATTCTACTTGGCATATTTGACAGCTTTTAACATAGTCAATGTCATTGTTCCTCCTCTTTTCTTCCCCATAAATCTATTTCCATAACCAGTTGCCAGGTGATGGATACAAAAGAGGAAAAAGCATTCAAAATTTAGAAATAAAAGAAGACTCTAATGTTTAGTAAAAGAATTCAAATGCAGATAGAGGGCAACTTTTCCAATTCACAACTCATGATGCCATGGATGCTCCTATGAAAGCGCAATCAGGTATTTCCTAGCGCAATGTCCAAGAATTTTACATACATAGACACAAAACTACACTAGTAACAAGTTAGTTGTTTCCTAAATCAGCTGAAGTTTCTCATATCATTAAGATTACAAGAGTATCAGATCTCCTCTTCCATTTTTCTTAGACTGCCTGGATGACTCAGATATACACTTTACACTTAAAAATAGTTTTAATAATTATACAGTAAATATTTAATTGATAAATATTAATATTTATTTTATTAAATATTAGTAAGTTTAACTATAGTTAAATAGATACAATTGCTAAGAAAACAGTTATAACTACCAGCCATCATCTGTCAAAACATCAGAAATATGAAGTTAGAGTTATGTATTTTAGATGTTTCAAAACTCAGAGATTTCATCATAAAATGCTTCTGCAGTTTTAAAATATGAGAGAAAACAATTAAGGCCTAAATGCAGAGAAAGAGCTTGAGGGAAAAAAATCTAATCGTGATTCTGGTTGATTACTTCAGGAAAGAAAACAGTGATAGTTAAAGATAATTACTTCAAATTTATATGCAAGTGCACAAATTTGTTTCAAAATCCTAGAACTATTATCACTGTACAAAGATCTATATGCTAAATTACCATCTGTACCCATTCTACATCTTCACATTCTTTTGCTTCACAGCAAAAAAGAAYCAGAACCTTCTAAGCTATCTACATATTCCAATTGTTTTTCCTTAAAATCATACAGCATTAAATACATATTACAAAAGTTGTAAAAGTGATAATTTACCCATATTCAGTAAATCGAGTGAATATTTATAACATTCAATCCTAAAAAAATCTGAAAGGAGAGACACTGTATTTCCTAACTGAGAAACTTGCTTTTCTCCCAGTATTCCCTCCAAGTACAGAAGACATATGAACACAAAGCAGCTTTTTCTTGCTAAACTACCAGCAACCGGTAAACCTCCGTCCCTCCCTTCACTACACGCAGAACATTTCCTGTAGTAGTATTTAAATATCAAAACACATATAACGCAAACGTTAAGATTCTTTTTTTAAGCAGTGTGTACAAATCTGAAGGAGTTATGATGAAGTTCTGATTGGAGCGTTCTGGAACCAACAAATTGCTGAGACAACATTTAAGATCTGTCCAGCCGACTTCCTCTTCTGTATGGACCAAGGAAGAGAAGGAAGRGTAGGGAAGAATTATCAAATATACAAATAAAATGATTCAAAAGTAAAAGCTACACAAATCAGTCACACACCCCAGTCTGTGTGGTGCAGGACTTGTCAGCTCAACTACCACATGATGTGAAGTCAATTTGAATATAAAAGCAGGATAACTGGATAACTGTATTCACAACACTGAGGCCAAACTAAAGCTCCAATTTCCTATTTGCTCCCAGCAGCAAATTTGCGTTGCTGTTGGCTCAGGCTGCCTCACAGTCATGTAGGATCCCTAATTGCAGTTTCCCATCTAAGCTGAGTCTTGCAAGCATGAAGCAGAGACTTTCGGCACTCCTGCTCTCACACCTCAACCAACTCTTGCTGATCTTGATGGTACTTGTTTGTGCAGGTCATCTCAGGTAACAGAGGGATCATCAAAAGTTGTTATTCTGTTTGATTTTCTTAGAACCACATAGGTCATTTTTCCTGGGGTATGTCAGCACCTTCTTTCCTCCCTCAAAACACTTTTTTTTTTTTTTTTTTAAAAAAAGGAGAAGTAGAGAAAAAAGGGTGGATATACACTATAACACACAGGGAGACAATTATGCATGCGTCTTAAAAATGACAGAGTCATGCCTACTGGACACGCTGCAAGAAAAGGAATTTATAGGACAAACACTGAAAAGTCTTTTAGGCATAAACTGTCTTAATAAAAACATTCAATCTAACGATTTTCCATACTCCTCACCCCCAACATTACATTACGTATATATACACACACATATGTATTTTGCARTTATTAGTAAAAACACTCCCTGCCATGCCTTACTTCAAATCTACAAACCAAGAATCCTAATCTGTGGTTTTAAGAATCACCCCTCCCACAAAGAAATCCATAGTAACTGACCTAACAGAAGCTGATGCACATAATTCACATACACTCTCACACGATTTACACAGGAGAAATTGCTAAGCAAATACRGACTTATCAATAAAGTGTGTCATAGTGCACAAATCCAGTGTTGAAAACACTCTTGAATTATCACAGAGCCAACAAACTAGTTTTAGTTTTCATTCTTTGCTTCTCTACCTATGAAATAATTTTTTAATGATGCAGAAGGGAGGAAGTTAAAAACAAGTAAAACCAATATTTAATAAAGTAATTGTAGATTTTGCTAAACTTCAGCGTTATAACGATGTTCCAAGCACCTGAGTCTTACGTATGCTACCATTGACATCATATGGAAAACCCAAGTGAGAGAAACTGATGTTCTAAGGAAATACTCTCGATATATGACATAAGTTATCTCTCTATATAAATGTGTGCGCACATGTGCATACATATACACACGCATACATTTATATGCAAAGTAACCTGAATATTTATCATCAGCTGTGTGTAAGGAGATAACACATCTCTGATCAGACCCATGAGCAGAAWATAAGAATAAATAATGTTGCCTACAAAGTTCTTTCTCCATCTCACCCAATGCTCTTCAACATGATATAGATATTAAGAGAGAGACGGAGAGGAATATCCAACTCCCAAACGTTATGTTACACCGCGTAAGCTGCAGTACGAAGGACACAGACTTTGAAGCTACTATCTGCCTAAACAAAGACCCCTACTGGCTGTTCATGGCTCTCAATGGTAACCTAAAATACTMATTAGCAATCAACTTCATATTTGTGCTGAAATAAGGAGATAAAAATAAAATAAAGAATKGGCATACTTCCAGATACAGATTGGGACTCACTAAGAACCAACTCCTTTACATCACACAGGAAGATTTCACATGGAACAAATTTTTTGTTTTCTACGTACTTGCCCTTTGCGCCCAGCCATTTTCAGTGACCTCATGCTCTCTACATCCCTCCCATAGCAATATCCTCCTCCCCGCCATCCTTGACTCAAGATTAACAGGTTGTGGCCTCACATTCAACACTCCCAATTTCCTGCTATGCCCTTCATGCTCACCTGCATATCTTCAGTAGTCCAGTCAACCTCAGCTCCTTCACATGCCCTGCCAACAAGCCAGCAGTACCTACTCTGGCTGGTGTGCAGCTATACACATGTCAGCAGCTGGCACACGGTGCTGCTTCTCCCAGGACATTATTAGCAGTTGCCTTTTGCCACCTCCTTAAGAAATTTTCATTAAATTGAACCAAGATCTTAAGGACACTAACTTCCTAACTACAACATTTTGTTTCAAAGTTACTGGTTGTACTGAGCAAAACACAGTGATTTAGATAAAGATAGATAAAAAATTATTTAAGAAACAAGGCTATGACAGTTAAATGACTGCAGGAAACTGTTCTTCTTCCTACTTTGCTCTTAATCCACTCCCACTACAGAGGGAGAAGTAGCAAGTTGAAGCAGGGTTGATTAACATCATATGATCATTCCTCTACATTAAATACAGCGCTCTATATGCAACAAGGACCTCAGTCATATCTGGCAAGACAGTCACGTATTATGAACTGTCACACCAAGTTTGGCATCCAGAACTAGGAAGAAATTTACTCCCTCCACTGTATTCCAGATTCATATGCTAAATGCAGTGATATCTTCCATCACTCAGTTATTTGGCCTTCTGAATACTCTGCTTCCTATGTGCATTACACCAACTCCATTTGGAGAAAAGAAAGCTGCCCGTAATAGTATGAACCTGGCATCAGTTACCATCTAGCAACAGTTTCTGTCATACAGGAGAACTACTTTTCACCAGCTGAAGGCTCTCCTTTACTATCTGTCCAAGAGTGTTCTTCTTGTGTACTCCTGAAGTAGCGATGGAACGTCCTATCTCCCCTTCAGATATTTATGTCAGGCCATTAAACATATGAAAGATTTTCCCTTACCTCTTCTCTCTCTTCACTCCTTTTCTTCTCTCAGYGGAAGTGAGACAAACTATGGGACTAGGAAGAGAAAAAGAGTAAGTGGCAGAGGGGAAATAAAGGTACATGCAGTTAGAGAATGAGTAAGAATTAGTCTATTGTGAAAAGAAATACAGAAAAAAAATGTGCTTTTTGATTTTAATTTCAGGATTTACAGAAATATCACAAAAAAAAAGAGGTAGAAACTAACTGCCAATCACTTGATGTCACTAGCTATGATTACTAATGACCTAAAAAGCAGAAAGGGAGTTTGGGCGGGGGGGAATTTCTGCCATGCTTCTTAAAACAAACTACACATAGATCAACGGCCTATCTATTATACCACTATTTCCAAAACTACACAAGGTGAGAATCAGGGAACTGTAAAATACAACTCAAACGTGACGGAGCATGAAAGAGTTAATTTTGATAGCAATGTTGCCATATAATTTGCAAAAATATTAATAATATTAGATAGCTGAGATTCTACCTAATGCGTTACACCACCAACGAAATGCAATATTCCTTCAAAGAGAAACTCAAGTGTTAATAATAACTAACTAGCTGCTGGCAAACATATCTTGTTTTTAAGCCATTCTTCTCATCAGTTGCTTTACCGTAAACATATTTTCTCTATCAAATGTGAGGTGGCAAATAACTCTTGATTAAGCTTGCAGGCATTTTGTATGAGACTTAGCAAATATTTTCTAGAAGTATCTTATTTACACCTGCTACTATAACATTATCATCCTAACAAAATTTTAAAATATACAACATTTCTGCAAGAAGACACTTCTGCAARAATATACAATCAAGTGAGCTGTGCCTGCAACTGGAAGAGCTAGTTTAGTTTAATTAAATTTAGCAATTTAATGGTGATTCAGTCCCTCTGAGGTCCTAACTTTTAAGGCTGGTATTGCTCTAAAGGAGGAAGTGAGCCTTTTGGGGAAATAATTAGCTACTAATACATATATTTAATAATTGTTTCAACAAACTACATATTTTGCCGCCTTCCTGAAAAGAAGTGACACAACTAATTTCAGAGTCTTCTCTATGCTGTACTGTGAAACGTAGATTCCTAACTACTAGGTACAATAACTAGTTCAGATTTACTCAAAGTTTGATCTTCTGGATAAATAATATCATAACAAAAATAGAACTCAGTTTACATAATATGCAAAAAAAAATCCTGTCTTATCAGTGGTATTTGACTTGCATGAACAGCACAACAGTTATTTCCACTTTCACGTGCACATTTGTAGACATTCACTTAATTGTCACACTTACGCACCAGAATCTAAACACAGAAAAATAGAAAGCTTCAATCTCTCAAAAATCCTTATTATTTCTAGCAGCAAGAAGATCTTTTATGTAGCTTTAACCACAATTCAACACAGACTACATTTCTTGCTAACAACCTGGTAACATTTCAGYGTTCTTTCCTAAGATTTTGAGAATGGACAGAACTGCAAGAGGAAAGGGAACAGATGGATGGGACTGAGTTATGTTGAAAGACAGCAAAGTCAATAATTAAAATGGAAAGATATTTCCAACTTTCGAAATAAACATGATTTACTTTCAATTGCAACCTTGACCCCAAAATTAATGTGAACTGCTCAATAAACATTGAGATGGTCTTTATTGTTTTCAACATAGCTCTATGTATTTAATTGTAACAATGAAGATATGAAATATGTCATCCCAGAACAAATATAACAAAACTTCTGCTTAGTAATGTAAGCACAGATACAACTTTTAACTTCTAATACTCTTGTCACACAGAGGAAAAAATATCCTTATAGAGTTTGTCCTTATTACTTACAACACAGAAGATGTGATTGGAAAGAAGAAGAACAGTAAAGAATGAACTTGCAAAAAAGGTTACTATGATGGGTTAAAAACTTCACAATTAGAATTAAGATCTCCCTCAAATGTTTCTATCTTAACCTGAAAACTGGAATCAGACATATCACTTAGTAAAGCAGAAGCTTATCTGAGGGCAGAACCTTATCCTCACTACCAGTAATTTATTTAAAAAATAAGTTGAAAACAAGCAAAACAACAACCCTCTCCCCCCCCCCCCATATTCTTCCTGTTTCTTTCCCAGTTCTAAAATTGTACGTTCAAAAACCATATGAAGGTGTGACCTCTCTGTACCTTCCCCAAAATGCTTTAAATAAGCTGCTGTAATTCTTAGGCCCTCATCTTCAGTTTAAGTAGCATCTCCTAAAAACATTTCTCACTGAAAAAGTTTCTTTAAACCATCAGTTAAGACCGGATTAACTGTCTAGACTTTGAATATCAGCTATCTTGTGATAAGGTTTTAAACACAGTACCATTATAACCATAGTAATCAGGAGTTAGCTCATTTTGTCTACTCTAGGGAAAAATATGAGCATCATGCACTGTAAAAGACAAGAATTTTAAAACCCAGTCCAATTAGAACAGCTACAGTAATAAATATTAAAACAGTTTAAATATTCAGAGCTCCTTAGGTCTGAAGACACAAAGCTATCATTTTATATATATTCAAAATTGTTTAGAATTCAGATATTAATTTCATCATTTTCTATACTATTTGTGAAAGACAAATGTTTTAAGTTGCAATGCAATTACAAAATTATCAATGTATCGTCCTGAAAAGTAATTTATTATTCCAATAACGATATAAAGTGACTGATAGCCTAGATTCTGTGATGGCACAAAGTAAGTCACAAATCCTCGCTCAGTTGGGATGTAAGGGTTGAGGGAGGGAAATTTTTCTAAACCTGAACCTGTGCTGTGACACTTAAGTATTAACTGCCAAGAAATGCAGGCATTAAAAAGTAAATTATAAAACTACAAACTAAAATACTACTTTGGCATTCACATATAGAGCCTAATTTGCAAAACTTCTGGTCCTTACAAGTTCTGTAAGTTTTAGAACACTGCTTCTCAATCTAAGCAGCATAGGAAGTTTCACATGAAAGGCAAGATAGCGCTTTCAATAAAATATGCAAATCATTAACAAACATATTTCACTTGCAGGATACAACCTTTGTGCTAATGCAACCTATTCTTCGTCTGTACTTCCAAAACACAATGTTTTACTGGAAACTGTAGTTTATCAGAGTTCATACCAAATAAATTCTTTATATATATATATATAAATATATATATATAAAAACAGCAAACATGTTAAAAAACACTTCATACAGAACTATCTTAAAAAGCTTAAAGATAACTTCAGTTATTAAGATTTTGTAACAACCTGCGGACTTTAAAATCTCTCCACTTTCACTAACAGTAAATCAATATACCAGATGTGTAATAGGAAATTAAAAAATGATCTCAGTACCTGCTAACAAGTATACGAAACCTTCACTTTTTTAAAAAAATAATTTTATTTGTTATGTTACGCCTTAAAGGTAACTATAGTTTAGTCTTAGAAAGTGATTATAGCAACTTTTTTCTGTACTATTAAAGTCTTAGGGAGAGAGATTAGATTAACTTCTGTAGGTAAGACTTTTGTAAGAACAGGAACATAGAATTATGCAAAAACTGATGCAATTAGGAACGCTCAGCTTACACCATTCAAATGTCCAGTGCAATTAATATTTTATTCTTTTGAATGCCGGATTAACAACAACAACAAAGTTTCTTTTTTTCCTTCTTAATATATACTCTACAAATGCTGAAATAATCTTTTCTATAGAGCTGCCTTAAATTTCTATCTCAGCAATAAATCAACTACTATTTGTATCACGAAAATATTTAAACACAGCACAGCTTCGAAAAGGGCAGACCAACAAAACTGGCTTTCCAGGGATTCATAAATACACATTGGTATCTAAGTCGGATGAATAATAAAGATAAACTTCCTTAGAATCACTCCAGAAGTCTGAACTGCGTTTTACTTCACATCTCCAGTAAACTGGCTCTTGCTCAATTTTGTTAGACTGTTTCATGGAAACAGAAAAATAATTAAGTCTTTGCTTACATTAATCTATTAAGAACAATGGTGCAATTTGACAATTACTTACACTACTGAGTCCCACGAACAGGCACACCGAAGTTCGTATCAGCATGGATGTAATATTAAGACTGTTCTTAAATCAGACTGAGATCAGACCCTGAAATATGCGAAAGCCTTTAATCTGAAACCGACTTCTGTATTTCTGTTGCTTTCCAACAAAATAACAACCCAGCTAACTGTATTAAATTTGAACTACAGATATGAAGTAACTTCTAATGGCAATGAAAATCTTGGTACTAAAAGCCATTTTCCTTACAGTTAAGGGGAAAAAAAAAAAAGCAAAAAAAAAAAAAAAAAAAAAAAAAATTATTATTTTTTTTCCAAAGTTTTTCACATATGGCAAAAAAAAAAAAAAAAAAAAAAAAATCTCCCAAAAGGCATTCGGCTGTGACAGCTAAGTGGATTTTTCTTCAGATATGAACAGCTCAAAGATGAATAAATGCTTTGGAATTAAAGTCCATATTTTTTAAAATATTTAGACAATTGCATCTGTAACATACTATTTGTAAATTGGACGTGTTTCTTCTTCTTAGGAAGAAAATGATTTCAAACCTTCTCTCTAAGTAGTTTGGTTACTGAACGGAGGAGGGGCTTGGAAAAAAAATTAATTTTCATGAATAGATTTTACTCAACAATTAACCCAAAAGTAGTTCAGTGCCTTAAAAAAACAAAACAAAAAAAATTACTAAAATTACTATTTCCTTAGTAATATAGTCTCCTTAAAACAGATCTGCGATCTACTTTACAAACGGAGAAACTAAGTCAGAAAGGGTAAAGTGACTCATTCAAATCACACAGGAAATGTCTGGAAGATCTCCTAATTCCCAAAAGTGCATAAAATTTGCAACCTATAAGGCAAGCCATAAATTTTTAGTATGTATATCCTTTTAAAAAAAAATTGATTTTTTTTTTGTAATCATACAAGCTTGTTTCTTTTGAGCTAAATCTTGAATTATAAATCTGACTGAGGCCATGAAGGCAAACATTAACATGAGCCAGGCGGCCCTCCAAACTGTAATGTACTTTAAAAAAAAAAAAAAAAAGTCATTCACCAGAATACACGCTTCAAACTCTTAAGAGGTGGAAGGGAAAGGCAAACATTTTCAAAGAAGTCCCCCCCCCCCCCCCCCTTTTCTTTTTCCTTTCAAAACCCCATTTATCTTATTTTTAATAAATATACAGTAATGCATGGCTTATTCAAAAATAAAAAGACTGTAATATAAGGAAGGTATGATAGCAGCATGCATTACTGGACCATTAATGCATCACTTGGTGGTTGAAATCACTCAGCCTTTGGCCTCAAAACACACGAAAGGCATGCATTAACAACACTCTAAAAGTCTTATTATCTTGTTCTTCAACTTCAGGTATACCTTAAACCACACATCAATATTTTCAAATACATGAAAGGGATCTAAATTAAAGTTCTTCAGAAATTGAAGATAGATTTGCCATCTTAATACTTCACTTTTGATTGTTTAAATCCAGAAGGTTCTAAATGCATACTGGAACAGAAATTTATACCTCATTAAACCAAGGACAAGATCAAAAACAGGCATTTTTATTAAAACAGACAAAAAACTACAGAGAAAGAGAAAGGTTTTTCTTTTTTTCTTCTTTTTTTTCCCGTTTAAATATACAGTTTACAGTTGCAGCTTGTACAGAGCACACCATACCAACTACCAAATAATAAATCCTTGTGACCTCCCTACCCCCACCCAAACATATTTATAGTGGTGATACTAAAAGGCTCATATTTCATGTAAGAAAAGAATTAGAGATGAGGACCTGCATTTCAGTATTTTTGTTACCACATAAACAATTTATACTATGATATACAACAAAAAAATCAAGATAAATAAATCCAATATCAGGACTATGCTGTTGCAGAAAAAAATAAAAATATTTATCTTAATAAAGGAATAGGTTATAACCTTGCCTGAAGTATTTTACTGTTAAGTTCTTTTAGTATTCCCCAACCATGAACACACGTAATTACTAGCTGATATCCAGCAAAGGTATTTCCTAGAAGATGAACATGACATTCACAAATGTGATGCGACTTCACAAAGAATTTAGCTGTTTCAATTATACTAATCCTCTCCTTATTTTGATGAATACTACCCCTTTTATATTAAAAACAGCATAGCCTTGGCTGCACATGAACATATTTGCCACGAATGCAAGGTTTTTCAGATTATCAAACCAACATACATATCACCTTACAGAAACCTATACACACCCCTCGCAGAAGCTGCTCGAGTCTGGTGCCTCTTCCTACCCCCCTTTTCCCTGGCAAGAGTGGTCTCGTTCACTTGCCTTTCACACACATAACCAATAAAATTAATCAGCTGGAACACGGCATTTTTAAATCGCAGTAAAGCCAAGAGATGTTTTGTACGTTATTTGAAGGAAACAGCCTTTTCACTTAAACCTAATAAGACCGTAATATGCTGCAGACAAACGCGCTGCATGGGGTGTGGAGGACCCGAGCTGATTAGATTACCACAACATCAGCCTGAGGCCGCCATTTTTAGAATCTCTAAAGGACAAAAGAGGGAAATTAAAAAATTTACTCTACATTTTTTAAAAAGTAACTTTAGAAGTATGGTGCTTATAACCAAATGATCACCTATTTTAAGTACAGGCAAAGACATATCTTTCTTTTCCCTGATCTGAGCTTTGAATAACAAAAACGTTTTGTTATTAATGCCTCTAAAATAATGTAAATAAGCAGGCTAAAATATTCTTAAATCCAGATGAAGCACTAAAGTTCTGTCTTTAATAACATGGGGTATATTTCATTTTGGAGACCTCGGGGCTTTTAGCTACCGCATATTCCCTAATGGCTGAGTATGGGGGAATACTGGACCTTTATAATCAGCCTATATTATGTTTCTCTACCCTATTTAGTACTACACAGTGAACCGTTTGTTTCTCCTCCCCTATGTCTGCAGCAATAGGGTCTGCACCGCCAATTTCTTTTTTTTTTTTTTTTCTCTCCCCTATTATAGCAGATTTTGTGTCTCCTTTTTTTTTTTTTTATTTAGTACTACACAGTGAACCGTTTGTTTCTCCTCCCCTATGTCTGCAGCAATAGGGTCTGCACCGCCAATTTCTTTTTTTTTTTTTTTTTTTTTTTTAAAGAAAAGAATGGAGATACGTCAGCCCAGAGCACCAACACGTGCTCTAGAAACTAAGCCAAGAAAGGGATGCGCCAATATAACTACTTACAACCTCCAGACAGGGGGGTTGGGAGATGATCCCCTTTAAAACTGGCACCGAGACACTTCAGGACTGTTTGCCGCTTGCCCAGGTTACACCACGAAGCAGAGATATTAGCAGACAGGGGAGAAAGGAGGCGGGGGTGGGGAAAGCAGGGAGATTAGGCCTATATTGARCCATTTTAGTACCACAAAGCAAAAATATACAGGATGGAGGGAGAGAATAGAATTCCCTAAGCTTGATAAACTCATAGTTTTATTTATACGCAGTCCCAATAACCCACAAACCCGTTCCCGAACCACCCCCCCACACACCCCTCCGAGAAAGGGTATGTTGCCACATAATAGCTTCTCCTGGCTCTTTTTCCGAGCATAATTCATAAATCTGGCATAACTGCCAAAAATTTCTCCTCAGCTCCTCTGCTTAGAGTAACCCGCCATATTCACAAGACATAGCGACACCCTGCCATTTTTTAGCCAAACCCTACAAAATGAGAAGCAAATCTAAGGCAACTCAAACACATTTTAAACACATTTCAGGGGGCAGGGAATCATACTCGAAAAGACGATAACGAAGCGTTCCCCATCACATATGAGCCCCCTTTCTTGCCACCCCCTTCCCCAGAGCCCCCACAGCAGAATACGCGAGCAATAACCCCAGACTCACCTGTAATGGTCACAGGCCAGGCAGCAGGACCCCTCAGCTCAGCCCCTTCTCTACCCCGACCAAAATAATGCAACAGCCCCACTGCGGATATCCCTAAACTGGGCTGGACTCAGCCCTCAGCAGACCTGCCTAGAAGAAAGGAAAGGGGAAAGAAAGAGGAGACCCCCCCCCTCCCCCCAGAGCTAGCTTGATGCGCAGAGCCCTTCAGGGACCAGCTAGGAAGCGCCTCTGCCTTGGGACCTGCGTACAAACCCCGCTGCCGCCGCTGCTCCCGTGTCTCCCTCCTTTCAGCCTCCTACGCTCCCTTCTATGTCACTGCCTCTCTCTGGGAAAATGGCGTCCGCTCTCCCCTCCCTCCCCCTGCACGGGGCTCACCCGCCCCGCCTAGCAGGGGCAGGGTTACCAAGGCGAAGCCAAACAGCCGCCATTTTGCTTGTGGGCTGGAGCGCCGTCCGCGCCCGCCGAGCCCTCAGTGTCCATTTTGCAAAAGTCTCCCGGCTCATGGCAGCGGGCGCCGCGGTTCGCCGAGAGCGCAGGCTGCGGCCGTGCGCGGGCAGGAYGGGCAAGGGGAGCGGCGGGGCGGGCGCTGCCGGGGGGGCGATGCGCAGCTCTGGAGGCGCAGGCGGCGGGGAGGGGCGCGGGCTCCCGTGCGGAGCCCGAGGGCGAGCGGGAGGCTGCGTGAGTCAGAGCCGCGTCCTCCKAGGCACGGCCGCTTCGCCTCTTCCCTCCGCGGCTTCCTCCTCGCGTCCGCCATGGCTCTCAGCGCGCCTTCCTAAACCGCAACGCGACCGAGTAACCGCACAGCCGGAGCGCTGGATGCCGCATCCCGAGGAGCTGGAGCAGGGCCGGGGGAGGAGGGGGCGAGCGGAGGCGGGGAGGGAGCGGGAGGTTTGAGCGAGTCCCCGTCAGGGCGACATGAAGCGTCTGGCCGGGTCTCTCCTGTCAATAGGCGCTTGGGAAGCTTCCTGGGAGCATATAAGGCTCGCAGCAGGCAAGTGGGAAGGAAGGAATGAGGTTGGCTCTCTTTTTTTTTTTTTTTTTTCTTTTTTTTTTTTTCCTTCTTCCCTCCTCTCTCTCCTCCTTAAAGCGAGCGATAGCGTGAAGTGACGCTAGCTGAAGGCGTTTCTTCCCTCCAGGGGACGAGAGGCACCGCGGAGGAGCCTCGCGTCCCCTCCAGGGAACGGCACTTACAGGGAGGGCAGGACGAGGCTGCTGCCGCCCGCGGCGCGGAGCGCGGGCGCGGCGGGCGGCTCATGGCGCCCTCCCCGCAGCCTCTCCCCGCCGTCCCTGCCCGGCTTCAGCCCCTGCAGCGACGCGGCTGCTGGAGGGAGGGGAGGCGGCGGCTGGGCTTTCGTTCGACGCCCACCAGGGGCTGAGCGAGCCTCCTTCAGTGCGCAAACGCGGGGCACCAGATAAAAGCTGCGCTGGCAGCTCTTACCCTGCCTCGATGGAGCCGCCACAAGCGGGTGACTGGAGAAGCAGTTAGCAGCAGCGCCATAGACTAGCCTCCCCCCACACCCCGGCCACAGAGAGTTTGGGGCTCCAAAGAGCTGCTGCTGCGGCAGGCGGGAGCCGAGGTGAAGGGATCCGCTAGCTGGTTGGACGCACAGGCGGCGGCAGTAACGGGGCGTTGAGTCTGAGGGAGGAGGGGGGCGATTAAACGTCTTGTGATCATGGCGGAGTCTATGGGTATTTTTTCCTGTCTAACTCTTCTGTGCGTGTGTCTCTGTTTCTCTCTTTTCTCTCTCTCCTCAGGGCGCTTGGCTGGGGCTGCTCGCTCGGGTTCTSCCTGTTGTTGCGCGAAATGGCGGCTGGCGTCTTGGTGGGTTTGGTTGTCGGTTTTTTTGTATAGGGTTTTTTTTTTTTTTTTCCTCCCCTCTTCCCCCTCCCTTTCCCCTCCCCCCACTCCTGCCTCGGCCGCGTCTCGGCAGCAAACCGCGGCGGCGGCTGAGTCAGGAGGGGGGAGGGCGCTCGGCGGGAGCCAATAGGAGCGCTGGCCGGGCCGCCCCGGCGCGCTCCCATTGGCTGGCGCTGACATCATCCTGCAGCAGGGGCCGCCGCAGCTGGGCAGGCTTGGGGAAGCTGTAGGGGGAGGCTGGCGCAAAGGGAGGAAAACGGGCGCCATGATCCCAGCGCGAGGGAGGACTCCACGGGCAGGGCGTCCCCGAAGACCCGGTGAAAAGGAAAGCGGGCAGAGGCCGTGGCTTCCCCTCTTCGCATTCCGCTGGAGAGGCGCGCGGCGGGGGGTGCGCGCGCGCGAGAGAGAGGAGCGGCCCGCGCCCGCATTTGTAACTGCGTCAGTACAAGATGGCGCAGGGCGTCCCTGGAGAGGGAAGGCGGTTGCACGTCCGCCGGAGGTCATGTGACCGCGTTGCATTCTTGCGGGGCTTGGCGGCGGCCCAAGCGGGCTGAGGCGGCGGCGGCTGCGGCCGCCCGGAGCGTCCGCGCTTCCCCTCCCCCTGCTCGCGCCCGCCGCGACTCCTCTTCCCTCCCCCCATTAGCCTCCCGCGCGAGGGTGTAGCTGCCGCCGAGGAAGGTTCTCGCTGCTCTCTCTCCACCCATCGAGAGGGTGTCGCTGCTCTCGGGGGAAGCTCCCCGTTCCGCCTTCTCTCCGCGCAGGGCTTTTCCTCGGCCAGAGCTCCTCGCGGGCCGCCCTTACTAACGCTCTCCCTCCCCGGGTCTCTCTCGGCTTCCCCCTTCTCATATACAAGAGCGCTTCTATGCGAGGTGGTTTCCTCGGGGTAATTTACCGAAAGGTTCAGCTCCAACGGTGTTTTAAGCGATCTCATTAAAACAGCTGAGGAAAATTACAGTCTGTATGCGAAGTCTTTCTCCTGGGTAGGACGCTGCTGCGTTTTAAAATGCTACTTCGGGGGTACACGGGGGAGAGGAAACTTAAGAAGCTGAAAGCTGCGAATGGCTTCATTCTGTGCTGTGCGTGTGTGGTGTTGGCTCCCGTTTTAGGAGYGGAGCAGCTTTTCCGTGCGGTGATGTGGCACGTAGTGCGACGTTAGGCCGCAGACGGCCCCTCTCCTTAACGCAGGAACGTGCTCAATGAAAAATAACTGGTACGCAAATATTTTAAAGCTGTCATTTTTACTACCTTTTTTGAGATTCCTAGGAAAAAGAAATTGTCACGCTGGTCTGGGTGGGTGGGAGGTTGGACAGAYGTGTTTTCTGTGTCTGCCTGTATTCTCCTAAGTGCATATGCAAAACGCAAGCTTTGAAAAATAAGTATTTTTTTCCCCTAAGGTATGCAGTTTGTATTATTGTTTGGATTGTGTTTATTTCTGTCAGGCAATTCAGTGCCTGTTCCCATGCCTTGTTCTTGTGTGACAGGGTGTAACTTCAGCCATTGCAGCTGACCCAATAAACAACTTAAAATTGCTGTTGTTTTTAAACTTAGTGGTTTGTTCTGGTTAGAAGTCTCTCATAGCACGTTGTTCTTCATAGGTCTCCAGATAGGTTCGAGTTTCTTCTTCAGYAATAGTGTAAAAAGGACAGAAAGCTGAATTTTTTTTAATGTTTCGTGTGAAAACTACTGGAATGAAAGTTACTGGGTTTATGACTCAGAGCAGACTCCTGTATAATAGACGCCACTTAATACGTGTTACATAAGTAATATAGTGAGGTGGAGTCTTGTTACATAAGAGCTAACTGGGGACTTGAGAGCTGTTCTAAGTAGTCCATATTAGTTGCAGATGCGGTCTGCAGGAGATGTGTGTCTTGCAGTGGAAGGGAGGGAGTGGAGGAAGGGAACTGGAAGCATCTAAGAGTACTACGTCTTTCCTTTATAGGTTATATAAAGGATACCAGAAGAGAGGCAGCAATTAAGCATGCCATGCTCTGAAGCTTTTGCAAGTTTGCAATCTTAAATTTAAGTCTTTTTTCACCTCATTCTCTGAATGTATATTATGCTTCCTGAAAGCAAAACCTGTTTGGAGTGTCAGGTGATGGGTGTCRGCTGAGCGTTGCATCACCAGATTTTGTTCAGTGCAGGGCTGCTTCAAAGAACAGGATTCCCGAGTCGTAGGGGTTGTGTTGAATGTGACACCATTTTCGGTAGACAAAGCTATAGCTAGTGCTATAGGAAGACAGATGCTTCAGTGACACTGCTGATTCTGCCTTTGTAGCCACAAATGTGACGCAAGGTAAATGCCCCTTTGGTAATGAAAGGTTCCAGAGAAGCTTTCTGTGTACAGTGATCCTTTTAATACAGAACTGACTTGAGACCTGCAATGGTATTTCCTTGTAAGGATGCTAAACAAAGAACACGAAGGCGAACTGAAAATGGGGAAATATGCTTCCTTTTGCTTCTATTCCATATATATGAAAAGGGCAGTGTTGCCTACCTCATTGCAAGGGAGAGGTTTAAATGTTTGTGTTAGTGTTTCATTCCGTATGAAACACTAGGAAATAAACTTTGACAGCTACAGAGCTTTAATTGCTAAAGCTACTTTCTTGGTAGATAGTATTGTCCCTAGGTTTTTGGTTTGGGAACCACAAAGTAAGATGAACTGTTTTTAACTTTTTTATATAAGTGGTAGCTAATTAAAGCCACACTTGGATTTGTTTCTATAACTTCCAAAATGCGAAGGTTCATCAGTAAGGCCACAGTATCCTTTTGCTTTCAGGGTTGTTTTGTTAGCTATCTCTAGGGAAGCAGTAGCTCTGGCAGTCTCAGAATTATCTGGCCTGTGATGTGTTCTGAATTGTCTTGCAGTAGGAGAATGGTTTAAAAGCAAGTGCCTATCTCTGCACCTTCTCTGTGCCAGAAACCTTGGTGGCAAGGACTTGCCCAACCTGATGCAAACCGTACTTCCATTTGGATGGTGACTGGAGGAAAAGGAGCTGTAGGAGACAAACTTGGTAAAGCCAGGCATATGGCTTGCATTTATGGTAGCCTACCAGAACAGGAAACAATTTCTGTTGAATTTGAGTAGTTCTAATAAGGATATTGCAGCTGACTTTCCAACAGTTAGACTTGTTCCAGCCCACAATGATAGCCTGTCCGTGCATGCACATGCGGCCTGTCTTTGGTCGCCTTGTTATTTAAACAGTGTTGTTTACTTTTAGCTTTACAAAGGGACTGACAAGAGTTCAAGGGTATCCAGGGGGGAGAGGAGTGCAGTACTAATGGTGTAATAGATCTGAGTGTGCATTAATGCCATAGCTGGAACAGTTGATGTAGTGCTCATGCTCAAAGATTATCTTGCCCCTCTTCCCAGCTGTTCATTCTTGTTTCTGCACCTCTCTCTCTCTCTCTCTCTCTCTCTCTCTCTCTCTCTCTCTTTTTTTTTTTTATGGCACAAGTGTTCATGTGGGAGGTGGAATTGGATCACAGATCTGGCATAAACCTAATTGTATAGCATAGTTGATTTTCTTTCTTTTTTCTTTTTTTTTTCTTTTTTTTTTTTAATGGGTATGTCTTCTGCATGCCTTAGACACTCATGCTTGAAGAGGAATATATTGCAGGAAGCAGCAGCAGGGAGAGTGGAATTGTATTGGCTTAAACTATTAGTGATTAAGAATTTTTTCTCGTTGGTTTTGTGCAGTAGAAAAGTCTTGAAATGTTAGGGGCAGCTCCTAAAGGGTGACCTCTGTAGCCAGAATCACTGCAGTCCTTGCTTACAGAGTCAGGCTGTTCAAGAAGTCCTTCTTTGAGCATGTGATGTAGTGCTAGATGGACCTGCAATTGGAGATAACAAGAAATACTTGTTTGTTGCCGCTAGCAGAAATGTGTGTCTATAAAACTAGAGTTGGGAAGAAGTAGTTACAATTAAATCTTCACAGATCTTCAGGCTTATTTTGTTGGGGACAGTTAAAACTTTGAGTAAGGGCAGTCATTCCAGAAATGGCCAGTAACCCAATAGCTGGGGTGTTCAGTGAAGAATTAGCTGGGTAGTTTCTGATCTTACATTTTGCAAACCTGTGATCTCTGTGGATCACAGTGATCACTAGTTAATTGTGTATGTGTTACTTGCATGTTGCAGAGCAGGTTCAGTGACTGTAAACAGCTTCACCTTGATGTGGGAGGATGGTTTTCAAGACTTGAACTGCAGCAGAGCAGAGCAGAAACCTCCTTTCCATGCCAGTTCAGGGCTTGTGTTGTGACAAATGGTGGTGGTTGCACTTTTTATGTTGGATGTAGCCGCAACTTTCCCCCATCGGAGGAGGGCCCGTACTGGCTTGTGGCAAAATTCTTAACAGTTTTACCTCSTAACTAAAAGGAGCAAGTTACAAGCTGTTGTGTGGCCAGCTAATCCAGGATTAGTGGGAATTTACCCTGAGTCCAACAGACTGGTAAACTTTGAATAGCAAAGTGTAGCAGGAGCTTTTGTTCTCTTGTGGCATGGCCTTGCTCTTTGAAGCAGAGTGTCCTTGACCACGATCGAGTGTTTTGGAGGGCGGTACTTAGCTCACGATAGTTAATTACTTTCATAGCATGAGAGGTGTTGCCCTGGCACGGTTATGGCTTATGACTAGCCCTAATGCTATAGATAAGTTATTGGGAGACTGAAAAAAAAAACAAGTAGATGAAGACCAGCTCTTTGTTCAATGTTGAGAGGCAAGCAGTGCAAGTACAATAGTGATATATCCCTGCCTTTGAGCTCTTGAGGGTCTCTAGGAAGAAAGTAGGGAAAATGCTCCTTCAGAGACCTACTGAGAGTTGGCCTGTGCCAGATTTGGGATTTGCTAAGCTGTAGGCTCTGATATTCTGGAATTACAGTTTGAAGGGTCTTCCTGTCACGTGGAAAGCGAGTGTTTGTAGCTCCTGCGAGCTAATAAACTTGAAACTGATTAACTGCAAAGTACAGGGGTTTCTTATCTCTGCTGAAACTTCTTAACGTGATTTGTGTGGAAGGATTGATGCTGGTATTTAYATGTTTTTATTTATATATAGGTTTCCAGGAGCAACAAATTCATTTCCTGCTCTCCCGAGTGTCAAGCAGGCACTGGCAGCTGCTTTGTTATCTGCAGTAATGCAGTAACTCTTGCTCAGAAGYAAGAATGCAGCATGACTGCGACACCACTTCATGATTGTTTTCAGAGGGTTAGTTTCTGAAGATTGCTTTGGTTTAATCAG